GATGCAGGCGGTGTCACCCCAGCTGAGCGCGTCCAGGAAGAGGGGGAGGTTCATGTCGACTGAGTCCATATAGGCCAGGATGGACTTAACGCGGTCGACAACGGTGCGGCCGGAAACGGAAATCGAGCGCGATAAGCGCCCGCGCATCGATTGGGTGTTGTATAGGTATATGGGTGGGGCGGGATCCTCGAGTGCTGCTTCGACCGGGTCCCATTCAGAGACGTCGGAGAGCCGGTCGCTGTCGCAGTCGGATGGCGCATAGTCGGCGTCGTCGTCGTCGTCGTCGAAGAGGGCTCCCCAACCGCTGGGGTGCGCCTCGATGTCTTCTTCGGCGCCTCGGGGATCCATAAGCGCTGGCGGACAGGAAGCTTAGTGACGGTAGAAGGCAAGCAGGAGACGTCACGGCCTGTCACCGATGGGGGAGTCACGGGGGTGAAGCCACCAGACGTTAAGGTGCTCGGGAACCTCCGATTTTTCGTTCCCGCTTGGAGCTCCGAACGTCTGGTCACGAGACTAGTATCGGAGCGCACAACGATGGTAGAGGTGGAGGGCGCGAACGGTCACGTGAGCGAGTCAACAAAGGCATCGGTCGCCTTCATCCGCCCCTTCTTCTTCCATCTCGAATTCTGCGCCTCGCGATACACCAGATACGTGACAACGTATACTATGAAGCACGCTAATATTTGTCATTGCGTGTTGCCTAAGTCGGATCGCAGTCCATCTCGCCCTCGATCGCGCCAACACCGCTCTGGCCATCGCCCGTGGCGGCGCACACACGCTACCTACGTCTCCGTCCTCCCGTTCGCCAAAGCGAAATTTACGAACTTCCTCGCCTTTGGACGCCTCGTTGCCATTCCTATTGGGGACTTTCTCGCCCGACTCCTCTATCGCTCAGTTTGTCTTATCGTCGCCTGTATCCTCTTCTGTGCCAGTGGTCGTCGGATCTTTACATTATTCCTTACTCTCCTCTCAGTTTTTATCCGGTCTCTCCGTTTCCTCTCACCTTGTATCCATCCTACCCCTTGTCATCACTACACCCATCGCCCTGCGTCTTCTACGTCTCGTTTAGACCACTATGGCAACGCCTTTCTGGACTATCTTCCGCCATGTCACTAGCCACGTCGTCTGCTTCTGCATCTCGCATAGAATACCTGGCTCTTGTCTACATTCTATCTACTAGTTTCCGTCTCGCATTCTTCGTCATACCCTTGGTTGCACCTACTCTCTTGTGCTGCGCCAACTAAGTCATCGGCCCAGGAGTCTTGTGCCTTCTCCGCCGTTCTTGCGTCGTACTTCTGGATTTCAAGTGTACTTTCAGGTCCGCCTTCGGCCCCTAACGCACAATCAAGTCATCGCTGACATCATTGACGACCGGTCCAATGGCCCAGGCAACACATCTATCCGATTCGGCACATTCTATCCCCCGTCTTGCAGCCCATTCGCGCACACAGAGCGCTCCGAAAATATCTCCGACTGCATCATTTGCCGTTCTTCAACTTCAACCATCACTAGCATGGACGCAGAGGAGACGCTTCGCGACATCCCAGCTCGATGCGACATCACTCTCGAGACCCTCGAACACAAGCTCTCCATCTAGATACATCGACACCCCTTCATCGATCCGTTTTTCTGGAGTCGTACTATATACCTCCGATACTGATTAGCTTTCTGCGCGCCAGCACATGGACGTCCGTGGAGCCTGAGGTGAGACCAAGGTTCAGTATACACACGGCCTGATCCCATTGCGCGCGTCCCACCACCATTCCTCTGCTGTCTTTGTATCTGTAGACTGTGGAGTGCTTCCATGCATCGTGACCCTGCTTACCGTCACTTAACCTATACTCGCTGCTATGTCTATGCTCCATCATTTCACCTACACCCCTTCTCCTCTCTCCCGATACCAGCATGGACACGACAAGAGCTCTCGTGTATCGCATAGCTCGACAATATATCCTAGTCGTCTCTTACGCACAGTCGCGCATCGCAACGTACTCACCGCCAGGTAACTTCACGCTGGCTCTAGCCTATAATTGTTTTGCGCCGTAGGAATGATGTGTCCTGACCTGAGTAGGTATCTTCATTTCAACTTTTCCCGCGGGGGTCGCACATGGTAGCTGAACCGACTTCAAGTCCGATGAGAATACTGCGAGTTAGTCGGGTGCTCGAATTGAGCCAAGGTTCGTCCGGACATGCCTAGGCTTGGGTCGAATGCACGACCAAGTGTGACAGACGTCAGGTGGCGGGCGGCGTAGATGGCCGAACAACGCGAGAGGGCAGGCTCATCGTCTGCTTGTTCGGGATTAGCTCTGAATCATCTGCGCGATATACACAGACAATTGGAGTGTGCATGCGATCTATCTCGTCTGAATGCCATGAACTTATCGTCGTGCTGCAATGCTGATTGACAACTATCAGGAGCTGACTGTCTCAGACCACTGGGTTCTACCCTAAGCGGCGGAGGCATGATACATGGAACTGTCCGAGAAACAGACAGGGCCGCTATGGCAAGCGACCGCGGTGAGAGTACGTGTGTCGATAGGAACGGACTCTCGGAAACACCTCCATACGTGAGGCAATTCAGAAACGCCTGCCCACAAAGGAAGCTATCATGAAATACGCTGCTGGCAGCACCCGAGAGATTTGCAAAAAGAAAGCTCAACATTCGATGGGTTCCCACCTTGACTGGAAAACGAAGCGGCAGCAGGAATACTCGCCGTGGGTTTTGTGTATGTAGCTCAGCGTGCGGTACGGAAGCGATGATGCTGGGAGGTGCACGTTTTCAGCCATGAGCGGTGCTGTGTTCATATAAGACGGTCAGCAGGCAGCAAGAAGTTGCATAGACTCACCATCACCGTGAGGTCTCCGTTCGTGGGCACAGTCGCCTTCGCACTCGCTATCGCTCCCCTCACTGTGGCATTAGATGTAGACCTTGGGACTACCGTGCACTTCATGATGAACGCCAGTCAGTAAAATCCTAAAGATCCCTCCCGCGATGTACTTACTTTTAGCACGTCGAATCAGAGGGTTCGGCAAGCTAGCCTCTGGGATCCCAAATCTCACCTTGTCCACTCCCATTGATGCAGGCGCGACCCTCGTCCTCGCCAACCCGGGCGACGGGAGCGAGTCAGACCCGACCGCCATCTTTGACTACCCCTATTGATCGCCAGAAGTCGAACCGGGAGACGCTCTCTGCGTACTTAACGGCTCGCGCCACAGACTCGGACCCCGGTCTCCCCTACACCCCCGTGACCCTCGAGAAGTGCACCGATTACTATGACCCGTCGCAGGCTTGGGACAGCTACCCGGGGATGAACATCATCTCGAACGACCAAGGGTATTGCATCACTGCCCCCGATGACGATCCGATTGTGGGCGACGAGGTACGTCTAGATAGTCCGCACAACCCGGTGGGACATGAAGCTGAAACATATGAGTACCGCAGTTGTCTATGATGCCATGCGCGCATTCCTCAAATGACCAGCGTCAGCTCTGGAAAGTGATCCCAGTGGCGTAACGCTCTGGCCCCTGTTATCTTCAAGTAGAACATGCACCCTGGGGAGGACTTGACATTCCGTTTGTCACAGATGTCATGTCATCGGTACGGCAGTTTTGCCGCCCTATATGGACGTCGACGTGATGTATGCTATTCTACGAGTGGGCTTATCAAAGTCATGGGTACAAGCCAATCAAACTGGCGAAAGAGGGACTATGGTCACAATCTGAAGGTCCGCACGTTGTTCATAACTTGGGTTCCCTGCGTTCTGCCGCACATCGCGCCGTCTCGATATCCAACCCTCCGGTCCCATAGCTTGGACGGCCCAAGCCCTGCAATGGCCACCGAAAACCGTGCTGACCAGATGCTCCGTGAACTACGAAGGGAGAAAGGGAGGTAGTTGACCATGATGACCCGATCCCCTTTCGAATTAAAATCGCCGTTATAGTCTGTACGACACCAAACCTTGGCGATATCGTGTCCATATAAGCGTCAGCCACATTCGATGACTACGAGGTATTGTACAAAGCTTGGATACAAGTACAAACAATGGGTACGAATGTGAATGCAAGTCAGGGAGTAGTCAAGAGCGACGAGAGCAGAGATGCAGAATATGTGTCGAACCGGAGTTGAACACCATCCTCCCATCGCCTTTCATCTGAGCATCCGCAAAGGACGAGCTGAGGGCAACGAGAATGAGCCTAGAGTAAGTATCGAAAGGTTTTTTTGCGCTGCAACGCTTCCTCGTATGTAATGCCCTCCAGACGGGCTGCCTCTTCAATACGTTCGCGCCGCGCGCCCTTCTGCATGTCCAATTCCTCGCAATCGAGGCGCTTGTTTTGTGAGACGAGGATCTGCCGGATGACTAGGGCAAAGAATCGTGAGCTGCCTGGACTCCCAAACCTGAGACAGACAACAGCTACCGATAGCTAGAGCAGTCGCCAAAGCAAGCGCAGCGATACCAATGATCATAGGCGGATGATAGTCCGGGCCCCAGGACGGCTTCCACACGTACGAGCTGATTCTGAGGGCGCGCGCGTCAGACACGCCGTGTCATGAGATGAAATGTGGACACACAGGTTTCCCAAGTTGCCAAATCCATTGACGATGCCGATAGCGGCAGACCGCTTGGCAGGTGGGCGGGGAATTGCGTTCGACACCCATACGAGGGTAAGCGCGAACCCTGATGAGTCCGCAGCATGTGAGTCCATACGCCGTGAAGGCTCGCCGGGGGTGAAATGAGCGCGCACCTGCATACCCGCAGGCCATGAGGAACATGGCGACGTAGCGACCTCCGATGGAAAACGTGCTGACTCCGATGATGTAGCCTACGATTACACCCCACCAGGGCACGCAGATGTGGAAGAAACGCTCCCCGGTACGATCTGTGGTGATGTATGAGTTCCTTGGTGATGCAAGGTAGATGCCTCTGAAGACGTACCAGCATTCCAAGCGGTCAAGCAGCAGACGATGGTCGCAAGAATCCACGGTGGTCTGGGCCCATGCATCTGTCAGGACACGCCAGGACTTGGAGGGCATCAGGGAGCACATACGCTGCGAGCACCAGTGTCACGGTCGTGTTGAAGCCAAGCGTTCCGGCAATTCTGAGAGCAGTTGATCAGACGTGTGAGGTTTTTTTCCTAGCTCCTACTCACGTCGGGAAGAAGTTCACGAATCCGAGTCCCAGGAGTTGTGCGCAGGTCATGACAGCGAATATCGGTACCTTGGGATCCTTGAGAGCCAAAATCAGCCCAGCGAAGGCGCTGCGTGATCATGCCAGTGAGCTGATGGACTCAAGTCGGAATGATGATACGCACGACTCTGTCGAGCCGTCTTCATCGGCTTCCCCTGCATCTTCGGCAAGCCGCACTTGTGCAAGACGACGCTGTGCGGGGTTCAACCATCGGGTATTGTGGGGCTATAAATAAACACAGAACAAGCGCGTCGATCAGGATGTTCTGGCAGGAACGTAGGGACAGCGTACGTAGTCAGGTAGAGTAAAGCTGTGATTTTCCCCAAGTGAGTATGCATTCGGTGTACCAGCAGGCCAAACTAACTCACACTGCACAGAACCCGATGAAGATTGTGATAGCTCCCTGGATTTGTTAGTTTCACAAAGCGTTTCCAGCCTTGGCTTTGAGGCGCATGCGAACCTCAATATAGAACAGCCTAGAAAAGATGCGAATATTACGATATAAGTAGCAGCCTGTGAAATATTAGGTGCCCCGACTGACCAACGCCAGGCCCGAATCCCAAGCTTCCCTTCCATGCCTGAGAGGATGCCTGCGGCCATGAGCTATAGAACCAGGCGTAGCCCGCGAATGCGAATACCAAGAATGGTGGGCCGATCGGCATGGAATATGTGAACCGTTGTCACGTGTGAGCATCGACGGCACCGGGGACGCAAATAGCAAGACGAGACGGCAGAAGAGGTACTCACGCTCCCGAACGCGTTCGAGATTAGCAGGCCTCCATATAGCAGCGCGGAGCGGAATGCGAGTTCCTATCATATAAAGGCCGATCAGTGGGAAAGTGGAGAAACGGAGAAACGGAAGTAGGATCACCCACTCTGCGGGTGTACCACCGAGATAGGAGATATATTGCTCCTGGGTAGAATGCCGCCTGTAGAAGGAAACCGGTGAGGACTGTATGATGCGAGCGGTGTGGAGGAGAACTATCGGAGGCCTACCTCTGGCACACCGACAAATATGCGAGCTGCTAAGATTCCCGCATAGTTCTTAGCAACCTAAGACATTTTGTGTGATCAGACGGACAACTCGGCAGCTTGAAGAGAAGGATTGATCCTACCCCGGTTAGTGCGCTTGTCATTCCCCATAGCACAACACAGGTAGGGATGTACCACGACGGGCGTGAGATTCGGTTGAGGATCTATGAAGTCGTGAACAGCCTCTTCAAGACACACCCCGGAAAACTCAGGCTTACCATATTCGACGGAATCTGAGCGGGGACGTATGACGCATAGAGTACTGCGAGTACTGTAGCATATTGGATATCTGCGAATACGAAGGATAGCTCAGTATGGGCTAGTTCAATAAGCGTCACAATCTCATCGTACCATTCAGTCCGAGATCCTGCTCCAGCCCTTTCAACCTGGCAGCGGTCACCGCGACACGCTGTGTATATCTCAGCTTGCAGGATATCAGGGATCAGGATCCAGCACTCACATCAATGTAATTCATGATGAAGACGAGGATGATTGTGGGAAGCAGGCGCATATCAAGTGCGCGCACCAGGCGTCGTTCCGCAGCCGGCCTGACATCGGCAGCCAGCAGCTCGCCGTCAGGGAGGCTTTCAGTCGACGCGCGACGATTGGATAACTGCTCGACCTCGACATCTTTCTTCTCCTCCAGAGACATGCTGGCCCTTTCCGCGATGCAGGAAGTCGTGAGCGCTGGCGGTGGGGGTTGGGAGAGGGTCGACGGGTCGATGTTCGTCTAGGCACAACGTTTGCAGGCACAAAGTTCGGTTTATATATGGCCGCACAATGTCATTTCGTCAAGCTGTCCATATTTGCCGGCGGAGGGCCGGCCACCCTATCTACCTTCCTGGCACCGAAGAAGAGATGGAGAGGGCACAAAAGGAAAGGCAGGTGACCGAGGCTATCCGCGATGAAGTCATTCAGTGCCACACATTTTTCAAGCGGGGGAAAGTTAGGAAGGGGCTCACGGCATTCTTAGCTCGCGGAAGCTCTTCAGAGGTCAGCTGAATGGTTGGTCTCTGCTGGACTCGAAGCATCGTCCGCAGGTTGTGTGATCCACGAGTTGCTCGATGTGGTAGGTGGACCTCGCACTGGACACCTCCCGTAGCGAACCTCGGTGATTGTTTTGAATGACATTTCGCTGCTGGTAAGTGAAGGTGACCACTGTGTCTGCAAAGTAGAGACGTTGCACTTGGAAGCGCCTGACCGTGAGACGAACATCTTTGACGCTAACGCCTAACCTGGCCAATCGAGAAAAACTTCATGGCAAACGTTCGACCGCTACAGGGAACCACGGCCGGCCCTGCCATCACCGTACAACCTGCCAGCCACTGAATTAGGGAAGGAGACGCTCTTGCGCGCCACCGTCCCCGGCGCATACTAGCAAGCAGGCCTGATAAGGCGGGCGGCGGGTTGGACGGTAGCAGCCTGGTACTAGTAGGTCCAACCGCATTTCCCTGTATATAGTCGGCATTGCAGGAGAACGCATCACTGCGCCAGGACTTGGACGAGCCAAGCAGCTTCTGTTTAGCGAATCAAGTTGAAAAGACGTTCATACACCTGAGCCGGCCACCAGTGAACGTGCAATCACTTGATGACTTACTATAGCGTCCGAGTTTTCAGCTCATCTAGCCCACCATACTCTCTGCCATTGGCGGTCCGGCATACATGACCAGGTGAATCGTAGACGAAGTGTTCGGCGGGATCGCGCAGAGCCTTCGTTGTGGTTGCAACGGGAGGTGGTGGATGCTACAACGGCAGACAACGTCGAGGAACTTCACGGGCGCTCCTCTGACTTAGCGGCATCTCAGGCGCCTTATTACCGTTAATGGTAAGGCCCGTTTTGAATGATGCCCTCCGCCTAAGGAGCCAAGTGGTCAAAGACAGATGGTCTATTCATCCTGTAACCGCGGGTACTACAGGTCATGTCAGGAAATTATGATTGACTGGCCTAGTCAATTGTGACTACCATCATCGAAAAGCAAAGCCCCAATCCGAAACGCGATTCCCGTTGTCCTAGAGTTGTCGTATATCCAGCAGTCGCTCAGGCTCAGGAAGAGCTCTTCCTCGGTCCCACTACAACACCCTTGGTTTTGTTAAAGCCGGCGATGGTGCTGTTCGAAATCTGGAGATGCTGCTGAACAAGCGTAGGGGGAGTCAGAGCCAGCCACTGGGCAAGACTGACGTCCTCGAAGCGGTTGCTATTGAAGATCTCGAGGAACCGTAACGTGGTGTTGCCCGTGTTCTCGACGTAGTGACCTGTATTAGGATTCATGTGAGCAAAAAGGCTCCATAACAACTCCATAACTTACCGTAAGCAGTGGGCACATAGCTGATGTCCCCAGGCTGGTAATCGAACGTCTGCGCAATGCCAGTTCCAGCAAAGATCGTTACTCGCGCAGTGCCCTCGCTAGATGTGGTTCGTTATTACAAGACGGTCGTACTCGCACTGAGATGGGAAAACGTACAGGAAAAAGCCCCATTCATTCTCAGTCGGGTGCCAGTGAATTTCCCGCATCGCGCCGGGTTCGACGGTAATCTCGGCGACAGCGATCTGAGTAGACACGTTGAACACCGTGGAGTCCGCGATCTTCGCCGTTCCGCCCGAATATTGTGTGGGGACAACCTTCGAGAACTCGTAGGAGAACGGTTGGGGGACAGTGCCCTCGGGACTCGTCGGAGGCTGCTGGTTATCCGGAGGAGGCACTAATCACGTGGCTTTAGACAAGAAGGACTCGAAAAAGAGTAGAGCCTAGACTAACCTCCGGGGAAGATGTAGAGCTGACTCCCAGGGATGTCATCCCAGTCGGTGATGTCGTCTTGGAAGTTCTTCGCAATCACCTCCTTAGGCGTGTGGGCCAACCAATCGGTGAGCTAACAGGGGAGGTTAATCAATCGCCAATGATGGATGTTTGGAGTAATCGGCGGACCAGAAGAGTGTCATCGTCGTTGAATGACCCGTCAGGGAAAATCTACCCAACAATCGATCAGCCTACTATTGCGACGCGCATCGGCGCGGCGTAAGGCTTACCAAGAGGAACTCCGTCCCGTTTGGATTGTCGTTTGTTGCTTGAAGGGAATGTGGGATACCGGGAGGGAAGTACCACAGGTCTCCCTTCTGAACTGTAGCAACGTAGTTACGGCCGTCCTGGTCAACGGAAGTGATCTGAGTCGAGCCCTGTATAAGACGCCGAGTCAGCTACATCGATTAACTTAATCGGACGTTTAATGGAGAACTACGTACCTCAAGTACGTAAGCCCACTGCAGATATGGTGTCAGTTATGTCATACATAGGGCGGGGAAGCGGAAGATGCTTGCCTCGGCGGTCTGATGCCAGTGAAGTTCGCGAATAGCTCCTGATTCGAGCCGCATGTTCACACCGGCCATCGCTGGTGGCCTTATTCAGTAAATGCAATCCTGTATATGGTTGGCGGCTTACCAGTTGCAATAGGCATCTGCTGGACTGTGGTCGCGATTAGAGGCTGAAGTCCATTGCACAGTCCGCACATTCACTTACTGTTCTGCTGACGAACCCAGCCACCGGTGTTAAGCTGAATCTTGCTCAGACTAAAGGGCCACTTGGCGTTACCACTGCCAAGAGAAGAACAAGAGAAGAAGCGCGTCAGTAGCTACGCCACCCTCGATAGTTTGACACCCCAACTGCCTTACACAGTCCCGGAGTCAGTAGTAGGCGGCGCAAGGATGTCCGGGTTCTGCTTGTCAATCTGCTCATTCTGGGGACCTAAGATGCTTGCACCGAGAGTGCCGCGCTCTGGCTGGGGGTCGATCGTGGTTGTGTCGTTCCACAACCAGTAGTTCGGATCGTCGCTTGCGTACGGAACAGTGGGGCTGGGGAGCGAAGGATTGCTACTCGTCGAGGTAGCTGCAGTCTGCGAGAGACTAGTAGAGACGGACGAAAGGTCGCCGACGGGGATGGCGGTGACAAGCGAGCTGTAAAGTATAGCACAGAGAACAGATGCGAGAAATGTCGACATGCTGCTGAGACTCTCGGTGCCGAAAGGTGAGCTAGCGGTGGTGTGTTGGGGAGTGGGAGATGAGATGAGAGGACTGAAGAGCTGCTGAGGGGGCTGCTGCTGCTCATGTTAGAGTTTTTGCTTCCCTTCTTATACGAATCGGTTGAGCGTTGCCTCGGCATCAGAGACGACGGAGCATATTTCTGGCATGACAGAGAAGTCCTACTAGCTTTCCGACTGCAGTGGTCCGAATCCACCAAGAGAGTCAGATCATATGGCGACTTCTTCCGGAAGCACCAAAGATGTAGAGACTGAGACGCCAAGGCTACGACGGACATATAGCCGCAGACGCCTGCGTGGTCAGTGGTGGATCACTCGAATACGGCGCGCTCCGAGTGCGTTTACGGTGTAGTGATTGGCGCAGGAGAACTGCATTGGATATTGTGGACGAATCGGGAAGTCACTATAATTGGCTGTGAAATCATCCACGGGTCATGCTTGCCTACAATTCGAAATGTTTGACGGCCATTCGGAATGTCAGTACCCACTATCGCAGCTATACCGGGCGCACTCACCAGTCCCACACAACATGATTTGGACTAGCGTCAGACTATATTGAGCCGCGCGTCAGTAAAGCGTTTCGTCTGGGTCACGGTAGAAATGTCCCCTCGACCTGAAATTGTGGTCCGCCTCACAATTTGATAGCCTGCGCGCAGTTGAAGCGAACTCCTGAAGCATTGACAATGTGGATGGATACTGAGTCGCGAAGGGTAGTCGATACATTCGAGCTCCCTGGTTAGTACTAGTACGCTTGATCACTCAGCGATCGTCTAGGCTAGCTTGCCATGCGCTGTTCTTCCGCTTCAAACGATGACTTGTTAGTTTCGAGCTTGATTCCGGCTTGCTCAGAATGGACAAATGCACTCTTCTGTTGCAGCTGGCTTGTGGCGATTCGAATTTGTAGGCTAGGCGGGCTCAGCTGAAATAGCCATCCGTGCTTACTGAACGGACTCGGCCAGTATTAATAGATGATTGCATCCGACTTGCGCAGTATCCAAATTTCTTTCTGGTGCCATCTCCGGAGCCGACCATTGATGAAATGCTTTTCTCGCAGGTCTCCGGTGGACCCCGACGCATCGTAGACATCCGGGAAGGCTATGACGCAGTGAGACCACTCGAGAACAGCACAGCAGTCCACAAGTTGCGTCTGAAAGATCTATAAGCACCACAACGGACCGCGGTTTGACACGAACCATTGCGGCCAGGCACAGTAGAGTGGCTGCGTGTGGAATGCTTAGTGGGTGACACGTATGATTGGCCTCACGCAAACAAAATATACGCACAAGAACACATGGTATCCGAGAGAATGACGACCTCGGACTGGCATCCGTGATTTTCCGGAGCGTCGAAGTCTGTATGGTTCGACACGACGGCAGCGCTAGCAGTAGCAAGACAGCGTTGTAAGAGAGCTTGTCATGTTCTTGAGCCTAACTCCCACTGATCTATTGTGCTCAGTACATCATGAGAATGACCAGCGTCGCAGAGTGCAAGCAGCAAGCGCAGTGGGAAGTTTCAGATCGCGTCTCACCCAAACGAAGTGAATACTGAGTACCTCCATTCTAATCGATACCCTGCACGCGTGGGAACTCCTGTACTACGTACGGCGTTGTCTGCAAAAGGACCCGTATTAGGGCAGGCTCGGAACTTCGGAAGTATCGGGAAGCGGACGGATAACACACTCACCGCGATCGCCCTTGTGCCTAGGACTCGCATAGACAAAATATAAGTATATGTAGATGGCAGGGCGCAGTAGAAGCGATCGTCCCCTCTCCATTTTCCCCTCGGGCCCTTGATTCCTCCTCGCTAGCTTCTGGATATGTCAACATTCCGTTCAATAGAACAGTGATGTGAAAGCCAATACTTACATGTCTGGTCACTGGGCGTCCGTACGAAAGGATGGCGGTTCCCTCAAAATGGCCGTACAACTCCATGGGAAGGAAAGGAGTCTGGACGGCTGGAGATACCACTGCATCTATGACTCCATAGACCTGCCTGGTGCGTTCGGCCTCGTTCTTTCTCAAAGGAACACTAGGGAGGCGAGGCTATGAGAATCGTCCGGACCCGTGCGTCGCACTAGCGAGCGTCACGATCAAGGGGAGCCACGTTGTCCGACCAGGCGCAAGTGCAAATGCCATCTACTTCATCGCCTATAGTAGGATATCCGCCGCTTCTTCAAGGTAGCCCGAAGGCTCTCTTGGCTAGGCAGTGACCTGAATGGTGCGCTTGGCAATCAGACGGTTGCGACTCGGTAACATAAGGACGGAACCCAAGGACGAAGACTTACCCGCGAACGTTGGACATACGTCTCCCTTGGCCGTATCGGTTGTTAGTCGATCCCTATGTGCCTAGAAGTCGATACGGATGCTCCTCCAGGTTCGGCAAAAGAGATTTGTACGTACTCGACCTTCGTAAGCGTACCTACACGTTCCTGCCCCGTCTTGAGCGCTTGAGGAGCTTTAATCCACCCAAGTGATTATCAGATAGTCCATCCACTCCTCCACAAACGCACAGGAACACTGTGTCGCATCCCTATGTTTACTGTGTGTAGCAAGTACTCGTATCCGTTGGCCTGAGAGATCTTTCTTCTCCTTAATCTTGAGCCTTGGAAGACGCTGAAGCGGGAGGGACCATATCGAGATATGACTCGTGGTCCCGGTCTCGAGCATCAAGCCATATGTTCCTGCAACCTCGAGGCTTCAGTTTTGATCGGGAGTGGCTCGACGTTCGATAGGAATAAGCGATTTGTGTCTCACATGATGGAACGATGATGGTGGAGATGCATATGATCATGTCGACGGCATCCTTTGCAATAGAGTTTCTGACACGTTCCCGCCGGTGTCGGGGAGGATCAGAGGGACGTACTCGAAATCAGGGGGCGAAAACGTTCTTCGGACAGGAGCCTCGACCATTAATGGTTCTAAGTCGACGCCAGGTTCGCGGGAGGGTGTATAACGGGCAGGAGATTGTGTGGATCCAGCGCCGCCGCTTGTAGGAAATGTCTTCGAACGCTTAGTACCACCTGCAGACGGATATATTACTTACAGCATTCGCTCCGGCGTGGGACGAGGCATGGCATTCGGGCGTACTTGAAACAAAAGAGGGACCAGGCCTTCGACCCCGAATGTGGGGTGATACACGGACGGCACGCGATATAAGAGTCTAAGGCATCTGCGCTCGCACAAATACACTGCCAAGAGCATCATACCCGCCCCCTACCAAGGCTTGTCGTCCCTGTGCATACCATACCCACATACCCCTTCGTGACTCCGCATACCCGCGTTCGTTCCACATATTCAGAACGCCTAACGACTCACGACCTACCGCCCGATATTTGAGGGCCCGAGCCTGAAGCAGTAGACCGCGTACGCAAAAGGCTGTTCTCACCATGAGCGTGAACACGACGACCAAAGCACTCCTGCCCATCACTCCCCTCACTTCGCTCCGCGTCACGCGCCACCAGATACCCGTACATGGCCTCATCCCAAACACTTCCATCCAGAACAAACCGTTGATCATCTACCACAACGTCTTCCCCGAGCCGACGCCGTCCGCGTCCCAGATCGAGGGACACATCAACGCTGTCGGCGTGTGTCGCCCAATGTGGCGCTACCCGATGTACCCCGAAGACCACTTCCACACGACCGCGCACGAGTTCCTCGTCATCTGGAGGGGGCGCGCGCGCCTGAACTTCGGCGGAAATGGGTGTCCGGGTGCCGTCATCGTCGAGCTGGGGAAGGGAGATGCGATACTGATTCCGGCCGGTGTGTCGCATGCGCTGGAGGAGGATTTGGAAGGAGGGTTCGAGATGGTTGGAAGCTATATGATCGGTTCGGAGCACTGGGACATGTGCTATGGGCAGACAGGCGAGGAGGAGCTCATTGCGAACATTAAAGATCTGCCGTGGTTCACGCGCGACCCACTGTACGGCGATGGAGGTCCAGCCGCGTCTGTGTAGAAGTCGGGAAGATGTATGAAATGTGATGTAGAGCTTCCAGAGACATAACGCAAAGGACACAGGGATGGTGGATGAGTCTGGGTGGTTGTCGAGGGAAACAGAGAACGGTCGGGCTCAGCCTACTTAGGCTAAGACCTATATAAGCGAGAGCGCTTTTGTGCTGAAGGGCGCTTCTGACAACGGAGCACCCTGTCTCAGGAATGCCGAGCCTGACGCTGCTCAGCACCTGCACCTTCAGTTCGTACTTGTCCATAGGCAAAAGCTTTATCTTGATGTCGTATCGTGAATCTCGTTAGAAGAAGAACCTCCACGAAGACAGATGGCTGATTGTCGCTTGGCAAAGGCACGCGTTTACCTGCGGGCTGGAAGCTTTCTTCGAGCCCATTCAGGAGTATCCGGGCTGTGGCCAGATGCAAATGACCGGGTATACCGCAGCTCTCTTACCCATGCCGCGCAAAGATGTGAATCGAAGACTGATGTTGTTGAGTATCGAAAAATGCGCCTCATATCGTTACATGAGCGATGGCGTGTAGGCCTCGGAGGCCTCGCCGGATATTCAAACCAACTGGCCCGTGTCCGACTAATGCGCGACATATGTTTGAAATTATACGCCCGGTCAATCCCTCCACATTCATCCCCGAGCCCCTCGATCCGAAGATGTACTGTGAAAGACTGCTTATCATATCATTCGTATATAGCGTCCAATCGTACACTCGTGTCATATATTACAACAAACATCACAACAACGAATCCCAGTCGGAACCAGCTACAGCTACACTGGTGACAGCCAGCACATCAGTAACTACATAGTACAACGAGCGCCTAGCGGCCTCCGGGTTCTGGTACCTGACGTCCCGGCCGCTTCTGAATCCAGTCGAAATTCACATAAGTTAATCGGACAGCCGAATACAGGAAGACATGCTTGTCATCCTCATCAATCCACGATTTCATGTTCTGTCAAGCATCCTCTTGCACAGACTCCGCATGGCAGCTCACCGCTTCCTGCCCTGAGCTCGGAGATCATCTTCATTATCCTCCTCCGAAGACCCCTTCAGCCCGATCGAAAGCGGCGGCAATGGGTCCAGGGGCGGGAGATGAGAGGGCAAGGTCCTTACACTTCTGACGCTATTGGATCTGCTCCTTGGAAGTGGGGTTTGCGAACTTGAGTGGTGAGTCGACGCGAGCGAAGTGCGCGATCCGCTCGCGAGCGATTTCCAGTTCACAGCGGATGGCTGTGCACTTCCCGTGCCCGGAGCGCGTGGGTTCGTGTGGACAGATAGTCGTGGGGCAGAGGAGGACGCAGCCGGCGTCGCGATGGGACTGAGCGCAGGCGGGGAAGTGGGCGTAAGGGGCAGTGGCCGAGACGACGCAAAGGAGGAGGGGGGCGCGCCCCCAGAAATGCCGGTACCAGGTGGAGGTGGGTTATACACCACAGCATGCCGATGGGAGGAAGAGGGCCGAGACGACGTCCCACTCGTTGTCGTCTCGTACACCTGAGGCATACCCAGCGCGTCAGACGTGCGCAGGAACGCGCGCGCCTGTCCCTCTGCGTTTGGGCTGTCCGGGCGCGACGAGGAAGCGCGCGGGTGGCGTTGGCGGATATCTGTCGTACTCATCCGGCGGAATGCCTCCGTGGGTCGTGCCATCACGTCGTTGGTATCTGGGGCAGGCGATGGCGACGGCGATGCTCGCGCGGCAGCCATGACAGAGGACATTGAGGATACGCTGGCAGAGCTCGGGCGTGATCGTGGCGGTGGCGACGATGTGGTGATCGACGGATACCGTTGTCCATGCGCGAACGAGCTCCGACTGGGCGCGATAGACGAAGACGACGCACCACTCCCCGTCCTCAGGACGCTCGTCTGAAATGCCGCAGTGAGCGGCAGCCCGACGCTCGGCCCTGTGGACGAGCGCGGGCGGTAAGAGGAAGGCAGTGCATTGGGCGCGCTCTGACGCCCGGCAAGACTGGGTCGGCGCGACGAGGACACGGACGAGCCGCGCCTGCGCGCGTCGACGTGGTCCTGGTCTGGAGATGCAGGTGGCGAAGGGAGCTGGCGCAGGGACCTGGTTTCTGCATACTCACTTGCATCCGCATCGGCGTCCTCGGGTACGGGGTCCATCCCTCGCGAGCGCGCATAGCTCGCGTTCCGCGCAAGATTCGCCGGGCTCACAGGGCTGAGCGGGCTGAATGCCATCGCTGAAGGGGTCATCTGGGATGCCCCCGATCCAGACATGGTAGGGGGCGTCGGGAGAGGGCGGACGAAGGGGTGCATGGCGGTGTTGCGGTTGCTCGAAAACGAGCTCGGGCTCATGTTCGAGTCAGAGGGAGAAATGGGTGTTATAGGGAGGGAAGCACGCCTCGCGGTCACCGCAGGCGATACGCGTTTGCTCGGGAGACCCGGTGGTGTCGGAGTGCTCTGCGATGGAGGCAATGAAGGGAGCGCTTCACCTTCGATGGCCCCGCCGGTGGTCATGCTTCTTGAGCTCCCGCTGAGCGTGCTCCGTGTCCTGTGTCCATGCGAAACAGTTGCGCCGTTGGTCGGGAGCGACATCTCGTCTCCGTCGTCCGCCATCTCGATTTCAGTGTCCTCTACGTCCCGGTACCGGTCGGGGTCAGCTCGATGGGAGAGGCTGGCGGAACTGAGCCCCAGCCGCGAGCGGAGGTCAGACCAAGAGGATGGCAGAGATGGGCCTGAGGGGGTCAAGTATGAGAGGCAGCACTGGGGGCTTCTTCGATGCCGGACCGGGCAACATCTTTTGATGGAGGAGGGATGGACGCCAAGATGGCAGATACGTCCCATCCCCATCCTCGATGTCGCTCGTCCGAGCTTTCCTGTAATAGCCTGAATTGCTGCTGCGGACGCTGCCAAACCGGACTGGCAGCACCCACCGCCGAGCTTCGCGCCGCCGCACGAGGTGCACGACGATGACGACTACGAGCGCGACGAGGGCCAGCCCGCCAACCACGCCTAAAACAACTCCGAGATTGGCGGTTGGCTGGTCGTCTTCCTGATTCTCTACGGGAATGTACGGGTTCTGCTAATAGGGTCGCCGACCGCGATCGCCAATGCCATGGGTATGCCGGCCGAATAGGATGTAAACCGTGGCGAGATTGCACCGGGCGCATGGGTGCAAGGAGATGAGTAAGTAAGAGATAGAGAACAGGATGCCTGATTAGCGCCTCATCTCTTCTGTGACAGAGAAGAAGATTGCTAAACTTACATCATTAGCACACTGTTCGCAATTCGCAGAGACGGCCATCGTTCGTTGGATGCTGGGAGCGATGAGTCCGGGGTATCCTGCAGGTAAGTTTTTGTCAACTCCACCCGATGGCAATTATATGTGCGCCAGCGTATCATGACGAACGACGAGGAGTGGTGGATAGCACGGAAGTCGGCGAGCCTACTGCCAATAGGAACACATTGGCGCTGTGGGAGAAGGAGCCTCGTGTCCCCACACAGCCTCCACGGTGACCTTCGTCACAGACGGCTTCGCGCATCCATGATCCTCCCTCGTGGCCCCACACGAAAGCGCGCAAATGCACCGATGGACTGAGAACTGCTGGGAAAGGCGAGGATCCTCCCGTTGAAGCTTGATAAGGCGTCTTCCTGCAGACTCTCATTTCCCTTTCCCGTGAGGAGGATCTCACCAAGGGTTGCCCTGAGCGTCAAGTAAGTTCGTGAAATCTCTCGGGTCCGTCCATGGCTTACAGTAGATCTCAGGTACAGTGCTAGTATTACCGCTCCGGCACGAACGTTGTTGATTGGCGTCAATCCTCTAGAATTGTCATGTCATGTCAAGTTAATGCTTCGAGGGGGAGTCCTCTACTTCGTACACTTACCGCACTGGACAAGATTGTCTTCGCTTGGGGAACCTTGCGAGCACACGGGCGCGCCTGAAACACCGTGATTCGAGTTACTACGCATCTTTCATGGAAAGCCTGTGTAGACCAAATAGGGGTGCTCAATCATGGTGGCCACTGGCCACTGGTCGTGTTGAGAGGCGATTGATGCGGACCGATGGGCTAGCCGAGACTAGCCCGTCAACTCGTCTTCGAAAGCTCTGCAGCGATGCTGACACTGGTCCTCCCGCACAAAGTCCCTCGACATGGGTGTCAATCGACGCAGACGGCTCTCGTCTTCAACATTCTCGAACCTCAGGGTTTTCGCTGTCTTGGTGAGCACGCTAGATCGATAGAATGGGAAGGACCACGAAGCCCGACGTTGCTCGCTTGCCAGATGCGGGACACTCGGCTATGGTGCAGTTCACTTAGTTACCACCAATGTTTGTACGCAGTTAGGCGCGCGCTCAAGTGTCACGTGCTTGGCCTTAGGTTAGGTTCAACGGCTTTGACCCCCTCACAACACCAATACAGCCTGTTGTGTATCACTGCCACCTTGGACTTATTAATTATGTTCAGCAGTGGTGAAGTGCTCCTCCTGAAAGCACTGAAGCTAGTATACCTTGGCATCTCATTGGTCAACATGCCAGAGGCTCTGCGGTCGTGGCCGACACAGGCAACGGGCGTCTCTCTACATTATGTAATGAAACGATTACCTCTTTAGTATATAAACGCCCATATCACGTGCTGCGGCCTTACTGGTGGAGTCACCTTCGCCAGTTTTGACCCAATTGAGAATCGCTTTTGGGGATTAGTTCCCCTATTTAATACTTGCAAATGGCAAATAACGGAAGCGTTTCGTGACAATCTGATGAAGTTACATAGCGGCGCTTAACTGCGTACAAAAGTGGTGGTCTCTAAGTGAACTGCACCATAGTTCATCAGTCCCCATCAATTGCATCTCAACACGACCAGTGGCCAGTGGTCACCATAATTGAGCACCCCTAATGGCTGATGGCCAGTAATTCCGGAACACAGGCGACTTCTCATCGATTCTGGGATGAGGTCCTTCAATACTGATACCATCCATCATTCAGAGTTCTTGACTCTTGAGTCTTTCATAACTCTTTGCAAGCACAAGATGAAGTACAAGTGCGTAGGGTGGACCGCGTTCAAGAATCCCCTGGGACAGTCACGGAGACAAGACACCTAACCTGATATCATCGTGTAGTATTGATGGGCATCGATGCGGTAGTCAACGGCATGCGTTCAATCAAGTTCGGCAGCCGGTCCACAGATCAAACTGCGCTGGGGTTATCTCATGATTTTCATCAGTGCCCTCAGAACTTGAAGGTCAGGAGTCACAAACCTATAGGAAGGTCACTATAACAGATACCACTAACCAATCTTTGATCGAGACCATGCTACTCTTCCCCTGAGGTACTCCTTAAATTCGTCATCTCCCTCAGCTGACTTTGATCGTCATTAGATGTACTGGCGGTTGCATAGGGCTGCGGCAAACGCTGAAATGTCGGTGTGCGTAGAACATGTGCTGTTTACCCAGACCACAGCGGCGGCTGCGTCGATGGTGATGGGGCCTTCACTTGCCTGACACCAAATATATTATCCCAACGCAGTATTAAAAGCCCACGGTGGGATTTGCGGTGACTAGTCATTGTGAGAAGAAAGCAGGACAAGCTAAAGGCCTTCGGAAAGCTTACTTCTATTAATATAATTGCATCATGTTCTAACGGACATTAATCTTCAGTAGCTCCGTCTTGTTAGGACTGGAGGGACAAGACGCTCCACAAGGCATCTAGATGTATTTCATGGAGGACCAGTGATTACGACGACGAAATCAAATTCGGAAAAGGTGGTGGTACTGATTGTCCAGCATGCGCCGGGACTGCCTTTCTTGGACAAAGTACGGCCCTAAAGAAACACAAGCGCCGACGAGGTATTTCCGAGGACTTGCGCAAGCTCCAACTTCAGCTTGAAGTCCGACGAGCTTCAGCACTCCATATCCGCTCCGATTGTCAGTACCTTGACTGGTTCATAGGGTGCTCTACTTACTGCGCGCACTCTAGCCGGCCGGTGTGCTCAGTCAGAGCTCTGTGTTGTCGCGAAAGCGCTCAACCGCCACTAGAGGGCCCGGGTATGTTATATCATTCTGATGTATCACGGTCCTTGGCTTCGTCAACCAATTAATTCCTCCTTAGCATGATATCTCCGGGACCCTTCGAGACTCGTGGCTGGATGAGTCGGGGGTTGCACTGTGTCCCGTTGCTGGCCCACAACGAGACGTCCGACATCGCGCGCGAGGCTGTGTTCGGTGACTTCCTCCTGGGCGTAAACCTTTTGCCGACACAGCATTGTCATAGTAGACTAATGCCAACCTATGCCTATACATGCAAAACCGAAGACGGGTCCAAGGTGGGTGTACACACATATGGTGCCGACGGCCATGTATGCCGGGATTCAGATTCACTACCATCATCCCGTCCCGGCGCCACGCTACCAAACGTGATGTAAATTGATGCCCAGAGACCGAACTGGCTACCAGTGTGTCTGGTTTCTCGAGAGGCCTTGCCAAGCCTGCTTTGTTGCCCACGCATGACCACTTGGACTGCGACCTGTGCACACTGATCTCTCGGGTCCCTCTATTCAATGAATGTCGCAATTGATCTCAAGCACAGCGCAGGATGTCTCAGCTGCCGTCCAGAATAAAAGGACGGGCATCGAGACGGTGTTTCTTCATTCCCCTTCGTTTCATTACTCTACTTTCGTTTTCACATTCTCACAGTCCGCTAGTCGGCTTTTTTCAACGCTTTCATCGTATCTCGCCTTTTTTTGTTACGCCCCAGAGATGTTCTCCTTCTCCCGCATGATCACCTCCGTCTCGGCCGCGCTGGCGTTGGCCTCTGTGAGCAGCGTCCTCGCTGTTCCCGTTCCCAACCAGGCCGCCCCTCTGGCTTCGCGGGCTGTTTCGATCCCCAGCCCCGCGTTTGTCGTCTACACCGACCGATTTATATCTGCCGACGTGCTCCCTCCTGTCGATCAGATCGCCGTGCGTAGCCTCCTAGTCGTACATCGTCGACGCGGCTAACCTGACTTTGACCCAGGGCTTCAACGTCGTTGCGCTCTCCTTCCTCACCCTGCAAGGTGCTCTCGACCAGGCGGGTGCTTACGCAGCACTTGCTCCTGACGTGAAAGCTGCGAAGAAGGCAGAGTACGCCAATGCCGGCATCAACCTCATCGTCTCCGCCTTCGGTGCGACGGACAAGCCCACGTCGTCGGGCGCAGACCCGATCGGCACGGCCAACACGTTCGCGCAGTTCGTGCTCACGAACCAGCTCGACGGCATTGACGTCGACTACGAGGATCTGGACGCCATGAACAAGGGCGACGGCGCGGCGGAGGCGTGGGTGACCACCTTCACCTCGACCCTCCGCCAGACGCTCCCCCAGGGCCAGTTCATCCTCTCGCACGCGCCGCTCGCCCCGTGGCTCTCGCCGAACGCCCAGTTTGCTGCTGGCGCGTACGTGACGATCAACAAGAACGTTGGCTCCTTGATCGACTTCGTGAGTCGCATGCACGTCTTCGCTACTCTGCTATCCTCAGTACTGACGTGTTACCGTAGTACAACATCCAGTTCTACAACCAGGGTCTCTACCTCGACTGTGCGGGTCTGATCACGACCGCCGGTGCGCCGTTTACCGGCTCGGCGCTGTTGGAGATCCCCAAGAACGGCTTCGACCTGAACAAGCTGGTGATCGGCAAGCCCGGCGGGTTGAGCGACGCGACGAACGGCTTCATCGACCCGGCGACGCTCGGCACGTGCATCGATCAGGCGCACGCTGCGGGGTGGAAAGGCGGGGTCATGGCGTTCCAGTTTCCGAACGCCAACGCCGACTGGATCCGCGCCGCGAAGGGCACGTCGTTCCAGTGAGCGTGCGTTCCCTGAGCCCCTCGCACTCGGCAGCAGTCGGCAGGCACGGTCGAGACGCTTTTAGACAACACACGGTCAGATTTCACCACGACGGACCCAACGTGATCATTGCATGGAGGGGAACTTCACGATGACTATTTATTGTGTAACGAATTGTAATGTAATGAACCGTTTTTTGGGGTCGTTTGCCGGTGTGCGTGTGTGCGAGTATGCGTGATATTCCCCTCTCGCGAACTATTTGTCAACGCGATAGAGGCGGCACGCATGTTTAATGACTCCCTCGCCGGTACGTCTGTGCACACCGAGCGCTGGATATCTGCATCGTGCAGTCTCTTCAGCGTAGTGTATCAACAGGCTCTATGTTGTATGATTGGTATGGTCGACCGTCGCACTTGATGTGCCGATGCTACAAAATAATAGCCCATAAATTCGCCACGAAGCTTAGAGTAAGATCCGATAAAGCGCGAGCGCAGAGAAACTACAGGTCGTAGAAAACTGAGTTGTCTGAAAGGGAATCGGTCATATTGCTGCCGGGTCCTGGGCGCTTGGGTTACCGCTTCAGGACATTATCCCTTCGGCCCGCAGCCCACGTAGTCCTTCGCACTTCTCCGCCACTACACCGGATCCACCTTCTGACAGTATGGGAAAAAGGTGCACAGCAAGCATGAGGAAGGAAGACCTACGATACCTGAAACATCATCGCCGTGATACCCCCCGAGCTGTCCGCTTGACGTGCCGGCAGCTCACGGTCGAGATTTCAAATATCCTACAACCGACCGCTGTCTGTAGTGCGAGTGCGGCTCTTCCCCGGTGTCGTTGTTGTTCCTGCGGTCTGTCCCTTCCGACTGCCGTCTTCCCTATCCATCAGCTTTCTGTGCATCTGTTGTGCTTACACCGAGCTGGCCACTCGACCCTCCATCCTCTGTTGGGCGGATGTCTGATTTGATCACCGTTGACGATCTCGCCTTCGATGAAATAACCTACATTGATGTAGATGACAACAACTTCTGGAATCCTTTCTTTCCTCCCAATGACCCGAACGTACGGCAAGGGGAGGTGCGGATGGGGGCGAGTACAGGTCTATCAGCAACCTTCACATTCACTGGTGCGTTGTATCCTTCCTTCTTAGCTGAAATTGACGATCTAAGAGCGACTTCTCTGTCTCTTCTATATAGGCTCGCAAGTGTCGGTGTTCGGACGCGTTCAGCCTGCGCTGAATGGGTCGCAGCAGCCGCTTTCGCTCTATAGCGTTGGTTCGCAACACCTTCAGGCGTTCGTCGCTCCGGATGTCACAACGGCGCAAGACAATGTCGCGTTTTTCAACTCAAGCGTGATGCCCTACAACCAGTATACCCTGATCATCAACGTCTCGCGTGCCAGCGCCAGCGCGCCGTATTTCCTGGACTATATTCAATACAACACCTCAAACCCCGATGCTGGCCCTACGAGCGCGCCGAGTTCGACGTCGACCACCTCGTCTACCTCGAGCACTGGCAGCGGCACCCCCCTTTCCGGATCATCGGGGTCATCTTCGCTTTCTGCGCCTGTAGGAGCGATCGTGGGAGGGGTCGTTGGAGGAATCGCCGTCATTGCGGCCGCTGTGTTTGCGTTCGTCTGGTATCGCCTACGGGAGCGGTCGACGAGGAAGCACGCTGGCGCTTCCGACGAAGGCAAATTCTGTACGTCTCCGCTACTCTTTTGTTCGCAACGTACGACTCGCTTCTGATGACCGTATGCCTGCAGCACCCCCTTCTGGCATCACCCCATATATCGTCCCCTCGCTTGCACACTCGCAGGGTCGTTTCGCAGATTTTGATGAGCCGCCAAACGCTCTCGGTCCATCCGGGTCTATCTTTGTCGGGCAACATGGCAGCTCTCATTCGCTCGGGTACCACGGGAAGTCCGGCAGACCCAACAAGGCGGCGCTTGCTCGTGCTCTCTACCAATCGAGCCCGTCTCCCGGGTCCCTCTCCACATACAGAGACGACTCCGCCCAAGATGCTACCTGGGGCGCGCAGAGCGTCAGCGGCACAGGGACAGGCTCTGGCTCTGAAGGCCACCAAGCCCAGTCCGTGCTCTCGCGTTCTGCCCACACTCCGTCCCCGCGCTCCACTGTCCCCGACCTTCCCAATCCCGCGAACCCGCCTGCACACTCTGGGACTCGGGCGAAAGGCGCGCGCTTTGAACCGTGGGGTCCTCGTCCTCCCGGCAGTCGTCCTGCGACACCCACGTCCCCTGGGCCGCCGCCAGTACAAGAAGACTCGGGGGTGCGCTTCCAGCCGGGGCTCACGCCGTCCAACGTCGCGCCGGTCTTGCCGCCAGGTGTGATTCCTGGGCCGATACGGAGCGCGGCGACGGGGTCTGAGGTGGCGAGGGCGGACATCCCGCCAGCGTATACACCAGACTGAGGGGTTCGTGTTGGGGACGTCGGATGGAGGTTCGGGCTCGAGAGTTTTGGGCTCGTTGCCTGTGATAGCGTTACTGATGCTTGGCGTAGGCATTAGGGGTAGTCAAAGATGGCGTTTCGGAGGACGGTTCGACAAGCGATTCTGCGGCGATTCGGTGGAAGGGAATCGTCCTGGATTCGTGTGGGCACTTTGACCACCCCACGTTTCTACGGGTCGATTCCAGGATAGATTCTTGAGTCGGTCAGGCCTTCGGGCGTCTGTGATATCAGAATTAGGTAATCTATGCATCCTCGCGCGATGGTTTCTCGACGTGTGCCGCGTTGTTCTTCCCCCTACTATGCCTTGTTACAGCTCTCGGGCCCGCATAGCGAATATATTCAGTTTACCAAGACACGACGCACTCAATTCCCGGTCTTTGTGCCAGAGCCAGCAGCAGGTTGCCAGGTGAGACGGCCGGACTTTCTGAAAGGAAGGGCTTTCGGTCTGGTTGGACATTTGAGGGTGGAGGGAATCTGTACACCAGTGATTCTGATTAAAGTAGAGAAGCCGCCAGCTTCAAGTTGCAGTAGGGTCGCTCGTAAGACGTGCTGACATATAACCTATTTTAAGAGGGCTTATCCGAGATCGGACTGAGGGAATCGAGCACAGAGAATCGCGATTCGGGTGGGCGGTGCTCCTCCAGACTCGCACCGGCGATTCGACGCGATTCTGCCAGAATCGCGGATTCCCCCCCTCTCGAATCGTCTCCCGAATCGTTCCCTCGAATCGTCCACCGAACCGCCATCTTGGACTACCCCTATTTGTATTGGGTGCACATCGTACTTATCTCAAGGATCGGCATATATAACACTTGCTGATAATGGTTTAGCAGATGACCTTTTCCATGTTGGCGCTATAGTGTAGTGGTTATCACTTGGGATTCTGATGAGCGTTCCCAAAACCCAGGTTCGAGCCCTGGTAGCGCCTTCGCCTGAGGGGTCTTTTTCCCCCTAGTTCACACTGACCACTACCACCACCTCTCGGCTTGAGTGAATGCAATCCCCCCAGCGCGATGCGACGCAAGCCCATATTAGGTAGAAAGATTTGATGTAAGGCGCGTAGTTTAAGAACATCCAGCGCTGCGCGAAGAGGACCCGCCTGAGTGCTCCCGGCTCGGGGGACCCCCCGAGCCGGGAGCACTCAGGCGGGTACACCAAAGCCTCGTTCGCGCGAAAAATAAGACCGGCGACCCCTTGTGGGATCAGACGAAAGACAGGTGCCCAACCCTAACCGCTGACCCAAACCCAAACCCTAACAAGCCTGATGGGATTCGAACTCTCGCACCGAAAAAGAAAACCGGGCACCGTTACCACTGCACCAGCAGCTTCGGAAAATATTACATTGGTGCGGCGTGATAGCCCTGTCTTTGCCACACTTACCATACAAGGCAGGTTAGATCAAGCGCCAGCGTCGCATCGCTTTACTCTCGGCTTGCAACTCAATTGGCGAAATCTGACCCACAACTCACGCTGCCCGGACACTATCGAGGGGCAGATCTATCCGGACGGATACCGCGGCCACCGTGCGGCGATAGCGATTCCTGTGATCTGGTGAGGCGTTTGCTATAGACCTGCCTATTCCCGATTAGCTGATGCGGTTTGGCGGGAGGGTCAGCGGAGGGCCGTCAGCTGTCTCGTCTGCTGTCAGATATGTGGTTAGGATGCACCAGTCGTGCCCTTGACCTCCGGCTACTGCGCCCTCCGGCATCTCTCACACGGCCAGTTCTGCAACGTTCACACCGGTCTAAAGCGCGCCACGACGACAGCCATCGCATAAGAATCTGTTGACCCAGAATACGATTTGCACTTCCCCATCGCACATCCCCCGTTTCATCGCACGTCCCTTAAACTGTCACACGTCCCCGTTTCCCCTGGGCCCCTTCAATCATTCGGCACCTCTCACTACGCTGGCTGAGTATGTTGTCTCTGATATCTCTTTCGCTGCAGAAGACGACCTCAGACAGACTAACCGCTATCCAGGACGTACTTAGACGGAGCTGTACTATCCACAGCGCTGTAGGTCACTTCGTCTTGGAGTTAATCCTATCAGGTATGCGCATATCTCGTCTTTGATATGGACTTACTCAACCTCTGAAGCATCGCAGGGGAGTGATGCGGCTTCTCAACACTAACACCGCACGATTGAAAGAATTCGCCAATCACGAGGAGATCCCGTCGTATGCCATCCTCTCGCATGTCTGGCAACAGCAGGAGCAGACGCTACAAGAGGTTCAATCCCTGGATCCCCAAGACTGTCCTCGCGATCATGTCTCCCCGAAGATCAGACAGTGCTGCATCTTTGCTGAAGCTGAAGGGTTCGAGTGGATCTGGATCGACACTTGTTGCATCGACAAAACCAGTAGCGCCGAGCTTTCTGAAGCGATCAATTCGATGTACGCATGGTATGCTATTGCGGACGTCTGCTACGTCTGGCTCCATGACGTGGATGACACTCATCCATCCCGGCACCGCTCGTTCTCGAAGAGCATCTGGTTCCAGCGCGGCTGGACGCTCCAAGAGCTGATTGCCCCTGCATACGTCGTCTTCTTATCTCGGGACTGGCACACGCTGGGCACCAAGCAGACCTTGGCACACCGGATAGAAGAGATCACAGGGATCGATTGCGATGTTCTCCTGCGGCGAGTCGAACTCTCTCAGATCAGCGTCGCTCGGCGTATGTCCTGGGCGGCCTTCAGGAAGACCACCCGCTTGGAAGATCGCGCCTACTCCCTCCTGGGCATCTTCGACGTCCACATCCCGACGATCTATGGGGAAGGATCCAATGCGTTTTTGCGACTCCAGCTGGAGATACTCAAGCAATGCCCCGATCAGAGTCTGTTCGCATGGGGTCCCCCTGCCATTGATTACGACGCCCTCATAGCCAATGGCACTAGCCCCACCTTCGTTGGTCCAGAGCTGGAAGATCCCTCGCTTGGATCCCTACTTGCAGTTTCTCCATCCAACTTTGCGAACTCGTCGGATATCACGCCTATGTCGCTCGATGTCTTGGGAGAGCGCATAGACCTTGAGGGGATGCGTCCCCCGGACTACACCTATACCAGTTACGGCATCCGCGCTACATTTCCCTTGGTCAACGTCCCCATCTCTCGTAATCCTATCATCTTGCTCGCCGTTCTTGCATGTCAGGATTCGCACGACAACCTTATCGCCCTTCTCCTGCACCAGCGTCTTCGTGATGCCAGCGCGTACTATCGCTACCATGTAGGCGTGGATCTCAAAGCGCGCACCGCGTCCGACAACAATCATAACCCGCCCTTCTCCCGCTGTTATCGCACGTGCACTATTCCGCTGCAATCGCTTGCGCTCCTCCTGAAGGAGGACCGTCAACGGCAGATTCAGATTGGAGATGTCTACATCGACAACCCTAAGGCGACCTTTCCCCGTCCTCTTCGAAACCTGCCATCCGTTGCGTCCATCGGTCGCGGCATAGCCGCAACGTCGTACGCTTTCTTCTTCCCTGCATGGGTATTGAAACACGCTGGAGTTCTCCCGATTATACCCGACACAGCTTCAGACACGGGTTATGACGGACTCATGTTGGAAGTGTCTCCTGGAGCCCATCCTAGCCGCACAGTCCTATTTGCACGCGATGTCAAGATTCGCCCCCGCTCCAAGCGCTCTGGACCAGAAGGCATTCGTTTCAGTGCCTGTGCACGTTGCTCGTGCAGTAGCAGTCCGCTGCAACATCCTATGTCTCTTGCAGTCGACATGATCAACCCGAGCTATAACCCTTCGGCACCCCATTCTGACCAATCTCCCTCGTCAGGTCACGGGCGTAGTCGGTCGCTTAGTAGCAACAGGGGGCGGCACGACGAGAAATTTATTCAGACGTTATTGCATCTCCCTTCCAATCTATCGCCGGCCCGTAGCGATCCCGGTTCCTCCTCACCACCGAGACGTCGTTCGAGGTCTCCTCTAGTAGCTTCGGAACAAGAGAAGCCTTGGCTATGCTCGAGCGGACGCACTCATCTGCCGACAATCTCGAATCCTTACATTCGACTTAGATTCTTCAACGTGCTGGGTAAGGTTGAGATTACTCTCAAGCGATGGGAGGGGTGCCGAAGGAGCCAGGCCACGTTCGTCTACCTCGTCGAGCTGAAGCTCGCGCCCGCGGGCTCTGAAGCCGCGGAGCGCCCCCTGTCGTTCATGAATTACACCGAGGCACCAACTACAGGGGGCGGGTTCATCCTGTATGACGCCAACGCTCCCGACGCTGAACCACTGCCCATCAAGAACGCTTTGCAGCTGGAAGGATCAGACATGGCCTCAGGTAAGTAGCGATTTTTCAAGACCGACAAACATGACGAACCTCATAGTGCGCCATAGTAGCAGCAGATGGCATCAAGATCTTCGTGAGCACCCAGACGGATTCCACGGAAGACGAGAGAGACACTGGATCTCACCTCTCCCCGCTGCTGACGTTGTCACCTCTTTCCGCCGGCCCAGAGCGAGGCCACACCAGACGACATTCAAGTCCGAACCCTGAACCTTTCTCTTACGCGGGTGGCCCCTACAATAACGCATCACTTCCTAGGCAAGTCTCTCCGAGCCGTTCGTTACATTCTCCAGAATTGCCTTCGCCATATCTTTCTCCCCATTCTCCGAGTACAGCATCCTTTGACCCAGCGTTCCTTTCTCCGCACCAGTCGCCGAGACCGCCCACGAGACCGCTGCCATCGGATACCTCCGTCTCCCCGGGGCACTCTCCCCGCGGATGGGATGGACGCGAGCTTCCGTCGGAAACATATGATGCCCTCCGTACGCCGCGCCTTCCATACAGCGCACTGCCCTCGCCGTCAGTCTTGACCGACGAGCTCCCAGAACACTCGCTTTCTGCGCCTGTATCCCCATTCCTAGGGCTCCAGCGATATGCTGCAAGTGCGACGCATACGCAAAGGGGCCGAAGCCCATCTCACGAACGCGGGCACGTTTCACGCTGGTCATAGTCCTTTGTCTTCTGTCGAGTCCATGCGACGGACACGGAGAGGCTATGGATTCTATTCTAATCGTGTTGTGTCCGACCTCACAATCGTGACCGCGAGCTGCGATACGAAGTCGGAGACTGTTCAAGTCGGCGATATTGAGGCTATGAGTAAACTACGAGCTGTTGCTGTAATCGCTATCGATTAGGAGTGAAATTCAAAACATGGAGTCTACAAAGGTGTTGATAAACTGGCAAACTGAGGAGGTTAAGCCAGGAGTATGTTTGCTCGGGGGGACCATTTGAGCGCAGCGGATGATAAGCACAGCACGGGAGATGTTCCGTATGTAAACTCAGCGTTTTACCCCGCACTCAGTGACCCGCCGTCGGATATCGATATCGTTCCCGGGCGTCCCTCTCACTCGACACCGGCCCATGCTGTTCACCCTGCGCTAGTACCTAGTCTCATCATGTGGGTCTCCTTCTCGTTCATGTGGTCGTCTGAGTCTACAGGCCCTGACTTATCTGATCAACGCGCACGTCGAGATAAGTTACTACGTTCTGAGGCCCGCCGCTGGTTGTCTGCGTTCCCGACCGCACCCCACGCAACATGTCCTACCATCTTTGTGTCGATTGCGGTGGATCGAAGACTGCTGTTGCCATCGCAGACGCGGACGGAAACATCGTCGGCCGCGGTATCGGCGGCCCGTCCAACTTCGCCTACCTCGGCCTCCCCAGCTTCATCCAGGCCGTCACCGCGGCAGTCATTTCTGCCCTCCAATCGTTTCTGCCAGCTTCGAGGGACAATGTTACGCTACCACCCCCGGCGGACAAGCCCCTGTTTGCAACGGCATGGTTGGGGGTATCCGGCGTCGATAGCGCGGCGGCGATCGCGCGACTTATACCCCCACTCACCGCGTTGCTCGGCGTAGAGCCGGTCGTCGCGAACGATACCCACCTCCTTGCGTCGCCCCTGAGCATGTACGACGACGTGACTGCGGCAATAGGATGCGTTTCCGGAACGGGCGGGATTGTGGTCAGCTTCAAACAGGGGCAGGGTGCCGGGCTCGAGGAGCTGGGACGCGTCGGGGGCTGGGGATGGATCCTGGGCGATGAGGGAGGCGGCTTCCACGTAGGGCGTGAGGCGATAAGGCAGATCCTGTGGGACGCGGACTGCGCGTCGGTCGTCGCCCCAGAGCGGCGCAACACGGACAGCACCCTCAAGGACCGCGTTCTCGACTATTTCGGTGTCACGGACGTCTTCGAGCTCCTCACCGTCATCCACTGGCCGGACCCGCTCCCCACCCCTGCACCTGGCTTGTCAGATCAGGAGGAGAAGGACGCACCTGCGTACACGAAGATGGTGCGCGAGAAGCGGCTGTCTTCGCTCGCTCCTCTGGTCTTCGCCGCCGCGTTCGAGGACAAAGACGCGCTCGCCCTGCGCGTCCTCGCGCACACGACTCGCGAGCTCGTCGACCAGATATGTGTCCTTCTGAGACCAGAAGAGGATGACGGGACGGAGTACCCGGCACGGAAGGTCAAGGCGAGTCAAACGATTCTATGCTTTGGCGGGAGTTTGGTGGGGGTAGAGGCGTACCGGAGGTTGATATTCGCGGAGCTTGAGAGACGCGGTCATTTCTTGAAGAGGTGGACGTATGTCGAGGACGCAGCAGGAACGGGTGCGAAGGCCCTCGCTGCAGTAAGCAGGACGCAAGATAGGCCGGAGTCGAACGTGGAAGTATAGAAGTCATTCTGTATGTATTCGTGATGTGCTGGAACCGTTGTTCGCGTTCACGGGGCATCCCCGTATCTGCTGATGTACAATGTCTTTCTTGCTACTGCGTTGCGTCGAAGTCCTGCATTCAGCGACAGGCTACACTACATCTTAGGTGAGGAATCTCCCGCGTTCTCCTCCGGTCCCCGCGGCTCTTGAGGGTTACGGACTGTGCGGAGCAGAGACAACGCCGCCTCAAGCATGCCTTCCATTCGGCCCAGTCTATCCTCCACTGCCCCAAACCTCTGTTCTATCCTCGTAATCCGCCCTCCCAAAGCGATCATTGACGACTCAGTCGCGCTACCACTAGCGGCTGGTCCCCAGGGCACGACTGTGTTGTCTCCTGCGCCGTCCTTGACCCAATCAAGATCGCCATCATAGAAACGGTCGTCGGAGTCTGCGCTGCCCCTGCGACTAGGCAATTGTCTGAGGTCGAAAGGCGGGGAGCCTTCCAGGGGGGGACGGTAAAGCTGCGCAAGAGTGTGCGTCTCCTTGTGCTGTCCAGCCGTGATACCGCCTTCACTCTCGTCACAGGACAGGCAGACGAAGACATGGTCTGGTATTTGTGGGCTAAGTTACCAGCACCCCTCGGTATGAACGGCCGAGAACGAGCGTACCTGGGCAGTCCACGCACAACCAGCACGCCAAGGTCACTTTGCTACCGCATCCCACGCAGTTGCTGATAGTCGTCCTTAGGATGAAATGGTCGGTAAGGGGCGGCGATAGCGTGCGTACACTGTCGGTCACAATTGTGGTATCAGAAAGCGAGCTAGGCCGCTGTATTAGGGAATCAGTCGATGGTGATGTTTCGTTACGCAACCTTGGAGCAATCGGTTCGTGTGCTGGGGGCTTTATGTCGGTCCGGAATAGAGCATCCTCGATCGGGGGAGGCAAAGAGCCAATGTTCGATGCCTTCGGACTAGCCACCGAGTCTAGTTGTCGCTCTTCGACGTCTGTGATATCATCCTCGGTGAGCTCGCCGATTGTCGACAGGCGGTGGGGCGAGAATGGCCCTTCGACTGGTGAATCATCTCCCTCCTTCGTTAACAAATCCACTGTAGCCTTGATCCGATTCAGAAGCTCCTCCACCTTTTCACCTATCACCTGGTCATCTTCCGCGATGGCCCACCCCTCTAGCCGCGTCTTCAATACACAATGAGTTGTGCCGTCGCCTGGCAGTCGGCCGTGGACCCCATGAAAGCAAGCAGGGTCATCAATGCAGAAAGCAGCGCCGAACCTGTGGTATCCAGGTTCGGGTGTGCACGTATAGCACCGGAGCATGGGCGTGGTCGTCTTCATCAGCTTACCGCATTTGGTCGCCCAATCGACGCCGCTGCCGGAGCATGGTGGGAGGATCCAAGCGTACTTTGCGGGCTCCACAGCGGCGTGAGCCCTACGGTGTAGCTCTGCCGGTGAGGTGCGGCGGGTAAGTCGGTGCAGCTCCTGGAGGTCCTCGGGGTGAAGTCGGCCTCCGAAGGTCTCGCGATGCACGAAGGAGGAGTGACGACGCCGCTCATCGCGGTGGTACTTGATGCGCGCCCAAGATATCGTTCGTTGCCGGACCTGGGAGCGTACCGCGGAGATCGCGAACTGCCACCATGCTTGCGCTCTGTTCGCCTCTAATTGCTTCGGCGACGGGTAGAAGGCCATGGTCTCAACGGAAATTCCCTTCTTCATCACGACGTGGCATCCGTCCGGACTAGAGATGTCGGGCACGAAGTCAGATTCGCCGGTCAAGGTGTCGCTATCATCCGACAGCGTCAGCCTCCAATACTCTGTTTGGAGAGATGTCGTGTTGAATGTCACTGTGAAGGCGAACACTAAATTGGTGTCTGATGGTGAGATGCGTTCCCCGACAATAGTCGCACGAGTGCAACGCCAAGGATATAGTAGCGTTGGCTCGGCGATAACTTGGGTCCTGCTCATGAGAGATGGATGAAAATGGACATTGAGCATGGGTGCACCCAAACCATCGTCGACGTAATCACGGACAGCGACCCATTGTCCCACACTGTGAGTTGTGTCGGCATCACATGCTTCATCAAAGATCTGAGAGTGACGTACATTGGCCTGAGCGAGTCATCGATGCCTTGAGTGTCCTCGATTTCAGAAAGGCCGTCCTCGTTGATGGGGTAGAAATCCTCCCGATGTACGAGATACTTGAGGATGCTGATACGTGGGAAATCTTTGCTGAGCCCAGCGATCTTGCTTGCATCTTCGCCCCAGACATTGGCAACGGGATTATACATACTGGATGCGAACTGATGCAGTGATGAGAAGGTCATTCATGTATGCCAAGGTGGGTTTCCATACCATCCCGCATGCAAATTCGTCGATTTCTTGGGTAACATACAGGCGTCGCTGCTGGAATAAGGCTGACATGACCGCACAGCGTAAGACAGGTGTGCGGAAAAGTACAGTGCCACGCGGTGCCTACCTGATAGCTCGCTGCGGCGTAAATCGAATCCGTCCTTGACGACGTGAAGGGACTCTTGGGCGTCGGTCAGTTCGTCGATGTGTAGTATGTGCACCTGAGCTAGCCTCATCACGTCATAGTGGCGAGACAACAGTAGGTACAACAGGGGGAAGAGGTTCTGCAGAGCGTGCGGGAGATCAACACTCGCAGCTCATTGCGAACAGGATGACAAAAAGAGCGAACCCTCTCTAGACTCTTCCGTCCGTTGATCAGGGCGAGCGTATCCTGTGCATCGATTTCGAACCTGAAAGTCTCCAAGCTCTCCCGCAGACGTACTTCCTCCCGGTCCATATACGCTTGGAAGCGAGGTAGGTGGATATGCCAGTCCCCACTGCTTTGGAAGCTCTGAGTCAAGTCCAGCACAATCCTGCGGCTGGCATCCAGATAATTGACCACCTGCGACTTGTTAGCGGTGCGAGCGGTTTCGACAAGGTCAAACATGGCGTCGAGCGTAGCAAAGATCCGTCGTTGGTAGGCAGACATACAGACCTGCCAACCTGTCAGTGATCGCCATGAGAAAGTTGGTTCGGTATAAGCGTATTTAGAAGCATACCGATGGCCCAATATGCGAGCCAGTGTAAGAGACTAGAACCGTGTCAGCGACGTCATAAGACTCGACAGCCGAACCAAAACGCACCTCCATCCTTCAGGCCGGGACATCGTGAATTGATTCACTTCTTGTATGGTAATGTACCCCGACGCATCCTCGTCTAGTGCTTCGATGACGGGCTGGAGGTGCATAAGGTCGATGTATTCGAGCGTCCACGCGTCGTCTTCACTGATACTGCGACGCTTCTGGGTCCCGTCGATTTTGAGGCTTCTCCGCGCTTTGATGTCCTGTTCCTGCTCATCCCGCTTCTGTAGATAGTAATCGTGTATCGCAAGGACCAGATGACGCGCTTTGACAATGCCGCGCCATCGCTGTACAACGCTCAGTCCTAAACAAGAAAGCGGCCCATGGCTATCCATACAACCCACCATGTCTTTCCAAATTTCGTAGAGGTCCTTCCGGGTTGATGATCGTCAGCCTGCGATTTCGCAGAATGGCAGTGGACTGGCATACCGGGTCCAATATCCTGTCATGCGGTCCGGCAAGCACTGAGCTGATGACCCTATCTCCCTCCCGAGATACGAACTTCTTCATCTCCTCCGCTAACTCTCTGCTCAGTGCCTCGAACTTCCGCTCGTAGGCCTCGAAGTTCTTCTTGATCTCTGCTGCAGGCGCCTGCACCAGCTCCTGCTTCAACAGCACGATCTCCTGCTCGTAGTCGACTGGAACGTTCGGCGTATACGGCCCCATGTAAGGACTCGGTGCACGCATCCCATAACCCTGCGGGGTATCACCGTAATATCGGTGCCCTTGGGTTTGCGTCGATCGTCGGTCTTGTACCGAGCGGATCTGCGGCGCGGATTGCGGCGTCACGTACGCTTGCGGCGTCGCGTACGATTGCGGCGTCGCATACGTCTGCGGGGTCACGTAGTACGACTGCGGGAGGCCACCGTACGGACTCTCCACACTGGCACTGGGGCCCGTCGCGCGAATGTTCGACCGCCTGCGCGCGCGCTGCGTCTCGGCTGCGCGCGAGTAGTTAAACCCAGAGTGGGACACACCGCGGCTGGAGCCGGGCACCGCGACCATGCTGGAGGCCCTGCGGCTTGGGGTAGAGGGTATGCGAGGGTCGGGTGCGCGGTCAGAGGCGAGATCGAAGGTGCGCTCTTGGTCTAAGAGGGTGTGGAGGATATCGGGGCGCTGGAGCACGGCGTCTGCCCCGCCGGCCTGCTCAACGACGGCGCTGAGTGTGCGCTGAGATGATGGGACGGAGCGTTCGAAGAACGTGAGGATAAGTTCCATTCTGAGCAACGCGGCTAGGTCAAGACGGGGCTGAGATGGCAGAATAAAACGAAGCATACTTCGTCATGAGGGTATCGAGCTTGTCGTTCGCACGATCGACAGCCATACCCGTGTGGATCGCGATGGCAAAGTTGAACTCGGCCTTGCGGTCGGTGAAGAGCTGCACGAAGCCTTTCAGTGTGTCGTCCCATACAGGACCCTTGAGGACCTTGACGAGAAGACGCTTCTTCGAGTACGTGTCGCAAACGTTCGCGCACTCCTTGATGTCGTTCGCAGTGCGCTTGACCAAGTCTTGTAACCGAGCTCGGATCGTCATACCGTCTCGACCGACATGGTCCGCACGTACGCTTTGCAACCTGAGCACCGTTTAGTGCTGTTTCGCTCCGAAGGAAGGAAACGCCGTACTGGAGAAAGGCAGACATCATGTTCCTCATTTCGAGGAATAGTAGGCTGACCTTCTTGTCATTGTCCCTCCGCTTGACCTCGAGCTCGATCACGACCTTGAACGCCCCCACCGCGACTGGTGCACAAGACCACATCAGTCAGCGAAGGCTTCCACGCCCAATCCTGGGATGCAACACCCGCCTGCAATCACGGGATGGATCTGCGCAACCGCCTCGAGCGCCTTTACGAAGGGGGGCAGTTTGTCCACGAGCGAGGTCACGCCGTCGAGCAGCAGCTGCGCCCCGTCGCTGTTCGAAGCCGTGTCAACCACCTTCGAGCCGGTCTCGAGGGGCGAGTCCCCGGATCGCTGCTTGTTCTCGCCATCAGGCCGCTCTGGCGTCTTGTCCGCGTTGGCCTCGTCGAGGATGCGTTTGGCTTCGCGCACTTCGGGCGACAGGCCAGCCTCCGAGGTGTCGCTGGCGTTCGCCTTGGGCTCCGCTAGAGCCATCGCGAGCTTACTGTCCGCTGTTTGTTAGCGCGCCGCCGAGTGCGACAAGTGCAGGTTGGCTCGGATGGTGGTAGCGTGTTCTGTTTAGGTTCCGACGAGGGAAGAGCGACGAGAGCAAAAGCCGGCGTGGGCAAAGTCAGGCCTGCTCCTCCTGCTCACGGCGTACCATGACGGGTTAACAAATAGGCGAACATATCGGAGGGAGTAGAGCAACGGCGCGGACGCCGTGCTAACGCGCCTGATCGATGGCGCACAGCTTGTGGTAGATCTAGGTCATACTTAGCATGATTACAAGGATCACAGTGCGTCTTCCCTGCCAGCCAGCACCTGCACGCAGGCCCCGCCTTTGCCTTCAGCGCGTCAGCAGGCCGAGTACGACGGCACTCGTCGTCTCTGCATCATTGCCATGAGGACGCAGAAGGTTGGAAGTAGGTGGGGGAGTGCGGCGATGCTGCGATTCCGCCGCAGGCTTCTGGGAAGTTCCGCCTTTGCATATCTAGAAGTCGGCGACCTGTGCAGCGTGCACGTCGCCCGGGATCCTTCACGTCTTCGAAGACGGGTCTGGGCGACAGCGTCCAGGGCTGCAGTTGTACTGTGTCCCGAACGCATCACCGCAGGCGTTGACGGAGTTCTTTTGGATAGACAGTCGTGCAGGCTGCAGAATAGCCTCGTATGCCACGAGGCGGATAGGAGACGCTCTAAGCTGTACAGAAGTGTGAGAACATGGGAGCTGGACGACACTTGAGGCCGCGGGATCCACAAAAGCAAGCGGATGCGTGAAGTTCTGCTGGCGATTAATGCGCAGGCAGGCTGACTCGTAGTCAAGCCTACCTACCCTCTACCCTCTAGTTCTGCTGCGGCCGTGAACACATCGCATCCTTCCAAAATTCACCCTATGAAGTCGTATACTCTCACAAATAAGGGGGCGCGCTGACGACCAAATGAGAAACCTTCGGATCGCCCATAGCTACTACAACGAACTCGCGTTGATCTTTCTCCAGGGTCCAAGTCGGGAGCCAAGAGCCCTACACTCTCCGTTCGGGTCCATGCGGTCTCTCAGTGTCTTCGATAGTTGTTTAGAGAAAGTGTTCGTAATGCAGAGAGAGCGGGAAGGCAGGCCGCCGATTTTACTGATTCTCTCGGCTTGTTTTAGTTTTTCATCGTATCGAAGCCGTGTGCTCCGATTCTAGTTTGATAGGGCCTTCCGATCTCAGTCCAAGCATGGTGAACGGGTTTGGGAATACGGTCTAAATCCGCAAACAACTGTCAGACGGTGAGTACCGTCAAGGACCGCGGCGGTCCTGAAGCGCCCAACAGGGCAGCACAAATGAGAATCTACACTTTCGTCCAACTGAATCCTACGTGTCTCCAGAGGCCAGCACATGCGGTTTGCGGGACGAGAACGAGTATGCGGGCGTCCACGTTCACGCGCACAGATACAGAAGACCGGATGATGCAAAGCGACGGGGGGCTGATACAACTGTTACGGATAGACCTAAGACTAGACAGACGACTACTATGGACGGACAGGAGAGTACGGGTGGACGATGACAGGACGAGCTAGACGAGATGGTACGAGACGTGCATGCGTGTGAGCGTAAGATGTAGCAGATATACGAGGACGAGATGAGGCGCAGGCGGGAGCGACGGAGCAGTGGTGTGAGGCGGGCGGTGGCTATAAGCGGTCGCGTCGAGTCCTCTTCAAACCCCAGAGAAGCAGAGCGGGATGCGGCTGCTGCTCACCGCCCTACGGGACGAGCAGGAACGAGGAGGGCCGATGGACGCTCACCGGTCAACGTCCATCTTCGCGGTGCCACCCCGCCCACGCCGTCCCCTTCCTCCCCGTCCCCGCCCACGGCCTACGGGCTTCTGGATGTACTCTTTGGGGTCTGTGCCTGGAGGCGCGACGAGTACGTGTGCCCTGGAGTCTGTCGCGAGGATCTCGTCTGAACGCAGCTTCCTACAAACGACGAACGGAAGTGTTAGTTAGCATACAGCGACGGGAAGGGAAGCCTCTGGAGGACGAGGTAAGGCAAGGAGGGGCGCCACTCACGAGCCTGGGTTGCTCTCGTCCCCCATGAGCACGTCCACACTGCCCTCTACCAGCGCCGCCCCAATGCGGCCCGACAGGGTCGCGTTCACGCCGCCGACGACCTTGACTTCGAGTGTGCGACCGTCTGCGGGTTGGCCGTGGAACTTGGCGACGGCGGCCTGGGCGTCCTTCTCGTGCTTGTAGGTGAGGCGCACGACGGGGTCCGGGGAGTTCGAGTGCAGGACGGCGGCGGTTATTGGTCCGCACCGCTTGAAGATGGCCTATCATCGACACGCATGGTCGCTGAGCACTGAACGGCAGGAGGGCACCGAGATAGGGAAAGCCCACCTCGACGTCGGCGGCGGTGGTGCCGCGCGCCAAGCCTGCGACCTGAACGACGTTGCCCCTCGAGCTCGCACCCTTGATGGACAGGCCGCCCTTGTCGCCCAAGGCGTCCTTGAGCGCCTTGTCCGCGATGCCGAAGTTCATCTTGGGGGGCGCAGCTTGGGGCGCGGCGGTGAGACGGGCGGATAGGGAGCGGGCGTCGGGTTTGTTGTACAGGTCGTGCTTCCAGGTGCCGTTGACGTCTCCTTTTGGGGGGCGCTGGTTCCGGTTCTGCTGGTGGAGAGAGGGGGATTCGGGTGTGACGGAGAGGGGTTACGGGGACGGGTGAGATGGACGAAAGGAGGGGAGAGGCGGAGGCAGGCGCACATAGGGACCGGATGCTGCAGCACGATTGGACTTTGCGCGGACAGGGCCGACGGCTGGGGCGGCGGCTTGAGGGAGGCTGATGCGCTCGAGAAGAGAGGCCATGAGGGGTCGTCGACAGGGAGAGGGGTGGAGGAGGAGGTGGTGGTGGAGGTGGAGGAGGAGGTGGACGCGAGGCGGGCGTAGCGAGTGCCACCGCCGCCACCGCCACTCCCTGTTTGGCCCTGTTGGCGACCATCCACGTGCGGCGGGAACGCGCTACTAGTAACCTGCCTCGTATGCAAATCATGCACAATCCTATTTTGTCCCTGGGGAGCCCATGGCGTAGGCCGTTCTCAGAGTCCGTACGAGACGACTCCGAACATAAGGATATTGAAGCTAGGATTGGAACTGTGGGGTGATCTCTAGATCTCCCAGAAACGCCGCGAACGCTTTCGCCGGCACATCGGGCTCAAGGTCTGCCAAGTCGAGCGTCCTCGGGTCTTGCTGCCACTCAATCCGGCGTAGTTTCTTCGAAAAGAACAAGCTTTTATTTGAATATCCCTTCAGCATGGCAACGTCGTAAAGTACGCTCGGCAATTCTCTCGCATAGTCTTCCTGGCTGCCGCCTACGACATGCGCGCGAGCAGACCTTCTCCGACACACCCCGTCCAAGGATCGCTCGAGCTCGGCTCGCAGAGCTGAGTGATATTTCGGAAGCTCTGTTCGATTGCCTGACAGACACGAGACAGAACCGCACAAGGGGACATCCGGCTGGGATTGCTCAGTTCTCCGATCTCCATTGTCTTGGTGTTGAGCAGCCGCACTGTGGTACACGTCCTGAGTATGTCAGAATTTTTGCATTGAGAGCTAGGGTCAGCACTCACATGCACAGTGCGCAACGTTCGGAGTAGGTTAAGTCGAAAGAGGCCGATGGCGGTCGACGATGGTGTGGATGATGTTCAACATAGGAAGAGACAGCCTGCCCTGATAGTAATTTCTATCAGGATGTTCAGCGCGCAACTCAATCTTGCCGGGAAACTTCCGAAGGCGGTCGCTTGTACATCATGTGCATAGTGAAGGTACCTGTACATTGCATGGCTGAATGTTTTTGTGACTTTGAGCTGCCTTCCGCGATATCCATGACAGTGCGTTTGACAGAACGCACAGACGATCCAAACAGTCACGTAGCATTCGTGGACTCTTCTGCGCCGACCGAGTCAGCAGGTTCGTTGGACGGTCGATGGTATCGGTTTTCTCGCCATGATCTAGTAATGAAATATGGTTGATGTAGACATGCGTCTTATAACATGCCGTCTGGGAACGGTTCAGATAGAATGTAGAATGGTCGTGCGCTGCCATCCCGACACGACAGGCGTATGTCGCGGCCGAGGCGCCACGTGCGACTCTCCATCGCAATTCCGCCCCGCCTCCCTGCCTACGGCTTCGTCGTCTTCCCAGCCATTTACCAGACGTCTGCGGGCAAGTGATTGCAGTTCTGCGTCTGTGTAATCTCGTCCCTCTGGCAGAACGACCTGGGTCCCGGCCCTCGCATAGCCTGCCGCACACTGAGCGGGCGTCCTGTCCGCCGACCATCGGACTCGCTGGAGTGCCCGCCAGAGCCCGGTGTATTGCTCCTTGGGTCCCGCGTCTCCGCACCAGCCGTCGTGCACACCTGGCGGAGGGGCGCACGGCCTCAGGGTGACTGTGCGCAGCGCGTCCCACGTGGAGTCGGGATGAGAGGAGGGGGACACCACTTTCGCCAGCCCCGCTAGGCTGTCGATTGTGGACGGGGAAGGCTGGAGGTTCGACAGGCGGAGCTCGGCGATGCACGGCGCGTGCCATGCCAGCTCGTCCAGGCTCACGCCTTTTGAGAGAGGTCCGGGGGCTAGTTCGAGGCGCTTGGCGGAAGGGAACAGTGGGATGGGCGTAAGATTGTCGTCGTGGAGCGCAAGCAGAGGGCGGGGGCTTGCCAGGCCGAAGAGGGAGACGTCGTGCAGCATCGGGAAGGATGTGGAGAAAATGGGAAGTGCGAGCTCGGATGGCTCGCATTTGCCCTCGCTCGCACGACAGAGGACTAGCGAGCGCAGGTCTGGAGCGATGAGGTGGAACAGTCTGCGTACATCTTCTAGGTACTGTCTTGGGAATGGTGGACGCCAAGGACCGAGGTCATCCTGGGGACGATGTGAGGCTGTCGGGCTCCTGCACGACGCGTCGGCGAGAGCGGGGAATGCGATGGAGAGATGGGCGATGCGCGCCGTGGGTTCGCCGACCGCGGGGACCCGCTCGCGTTCGTAGAGGGTGAGGAAGGGGTGCGAGATGTCGGGATGTGCGACGAGCCCGACGGAGTGGAAGCGAGAGACGCGGGCGGCTGCGCGGACCGCTTTGGATGTCAAGGATAGCGCACATCCTGTGTGTCCTCCATCTGTGCATGCGAGCTGGAAGACTCGCTGGAGGGTCTCGAGAGGTAGTGTGTCCATCGAGTATGGAGGGCGGGATGGAGGGCGGGATGGGGGATGGGGTACGGGGACGGGTCGGTGTAGGCTGCTTGTTATCGTGCTGTCGCCCCTGTCTCGAAGGTCTTGTTTCCGGATCGCGGGTGGCATTTCCATGGGGCAGCGGGAGTCTCTTCCCCCCGCAGCCTGATGATTGAGGAATGGAAGCCGCCTCTGGTCTGAGATGGGGACTGATGTTCTCTTGTTTGAGACGCCAGTTTCGTGAAATCAGTCCCACCCCAATCTGCGGCAAATTTGCTGAACGTTGAACACTCTGACCGCGACATCTTACTCCGTTGCCTGAAGAAACATTATATCAATGAGCCGAAGAGAAGCAAGTCTGGATCGCACGCCCAGCTTCGCTTGCTATCATGGACTGGGACCTCCGACTACTCAAGGTTCGATCTCGCACGGATCCGGTGGCCACCGCTAGCCGCTGAGCAATCCTCCAAGTTTGCATCCGTCTTCTTCGAGCGACGGAGCGGAGAATAAATCATGCTGCAGCACAACGGTGGGCACAGAACGTGGTGCAGTACGGCAGCCTGAGTGTCTTAGCTTCGAAGACAGGAATATCAGAGCTAACATGAACAACGTGCAAGGAAGACGGACTCTACCCAGAAGAGTAGCAGAAGCAGAAGAAAGTCAAAACGGCGTTTGGGGGGAGCGACGATACCCACGCACGGGCGATGGTGCGTGCACATGGCCGAAGGGATGCGACGGAGCCTGTGGCTGCAACGGGAATTCCCCCGGCAGACTAGACGGCATGTGCAGGGTCTCAGGGGAAGGCAGAGGAGAAGCGTGTAGATGCGGAGATTGTGGCGGCGAGTACGACTCGGCGTTAGCAGGGAGTGGGATGTGGGACGGATGAGGAGAGTGGTACGGAGAGAGAGACGTGCGGGGTAATCTGGGAGCATGCGAATGGCTTGGTGATAAGAACGGAGATGGCAGCGGTTCGGGTGTATGATATTCCGAGAGGGATCCGTGACGGGAACGGGTAGATGGTGAAGGAGACCTCAGAGAACCAGGAGAGTATACTTCGAGATGAGGACTCGAGTGTCTTCGCGTGTGGGAGAATGGTATAGGTATCTCCTCATCCAGTGAGGAAGTTGACCAAGTCGGTGACGGTGGCGACAGATCAACGCCGTCTTCGGTGCCATCTCTCATCTGTTGTTCTTCCGAGTTGATGAAAATAAGCGGCCCCAGAGGATCTGTGCAACATGAACTGCAGCGTTAGACACAGCATACAATCCCCGAGGTGCCCACCACTCACCTATGTGGTGATCATTTGTAGTCTCGTCAGCATATCGAGCCAGCCCTAATGCGTTGACTCTTTCTTCAGAACCATCCACGGGGTACATAATCACTCCGCTATCTGGAACGACCCCATCTGTGTAGGTCGGGAGAGCCCTGTCGCTGAGGTTCTAGTGCTTGAGTTGGGCCGACCATCCTTAACTCGACAATGTAGACATACGTCGCCCTGGTCTTACGGCAGCCTTCCCACCGCTTGAGTTTGACGGACACTTTGCCCAACGCATTGACGAGCTTCAATCGGATGTTGGGGTTCGAGACCGTCGGCAAGTGGGTGCGCTTGTTTGCGCATTGCCAAGCCTGTTCGGGAAAAGGATCTCCGGGGTCAGGAGAACCGTCCGCTGAAGGTTCGCCCTCCAGGGCGTCAGGAAGCCATACGTGCTCGCTCGGAGACGGACTCGCGGGAACATTGAGCATCATCTGCGCAAATTGTTTGTCGTCTGTGAGGACTGCGCTGAGCGATCTGCGACGCCCGTGCCTGCTGACAGTAGCGCGCCGCTCGGTCTCGAACTCGGGAACCATCATGTCGACCGCGATCGACATCGGATGCTGCAAAGGACTGCTTTCGCATGAGCAGTGTGCGTACATGCTGAAGCGCACGCCTTGAGGTCCCCTGTCTTGGTTGCATGGGTCGTTCGACAGCGACGGGGCGCGACTCGCGAAGATGATGGCCCGATGATCGTGTACACCCGGGATGAGTTCGAGCATGATTCCGTCACTATCTTGTACTGCTGAAGGGTCGTCCAATATGGGTGAGATGCCAGCCCATTCCTGCAACCAAGCTGGGAAAAAGAAGGCATATGACACGCGATTGCGGCTACGTGTGGGTGGCAACGCCTTCGATAGCAGAGACGTCACGCCGGAAGGGGTGTGTTCGACGTAGAGGGGCCGTACGGAGATACCGCTGAGGATGACGGACATCCTGAGGATTTCACGAGAGAGTCGCCCGACGCGGTAGTACTGCGTTGACGGGCTAGGACCGTGCGCGGTGCGCAAGTCGGCTCCGACGCGATGCAGCAAGTACGCTGTAGCGGTTGTCCAGTGGCGCGGCCGTTGATGGAGGAATAGTACAATGAGGTCCCCGTGCACATCCTGGCAGGCGAGAATGGCCGCGGAGACGACAGACTCTGAGCGTCCGGGTGGGAATACCTCGATGACGGGAAACGCGGTTCGCATGCCATAGGCCGTGACGCTGTACTCTGGCGGAACTAGACTGGGATCTTGCAGGTGGTCGCTGAGCATGTCCAACGAGATAGATGAGATGTCGCCGGAGTGTTCGAACTCGGCGGGTGATGGCGCCAGAAGGCATCGTGGGAACGAATCCTCGGGCTCCAAGTCCTTCGGGATGACAGCCGGGACCAAAGTGTACACCACGGTCAAGTAATCGATGGAAACACGGCCCCAGGCGAAGATGCTCTGGTCTGGGCACTGCTTGAGTATCTCGACCTGGAGACGAAAGAAGGCCTTCGGCCCTCCTTCGCCATAGATGGTGGGCATGTTGACATCGAAGATGCCCATGAGCGAATACGCGCGGTCCTCTTCACGGGTGGTCCTCCTGGTAGCCGCCCATGACATACGCCGAGCAACACTGACTTGGTGAAGCTCCATCGTCTGCAGGAGAACGGCGATGTCGATACCCGTGACAAGGCTGATGGGGTATGCGAGTGTCTGCTTAGTGCCGAGAGTATGCCATCTCTTGGACAAGAAGACGACATAGCGAGGTGCAATGAGCTCCTGGAGTGTCCAGCCTCGGGTGAACCAGACGCTCTGACAGAACGAGCCGGAATCGGAGGGATGCGTGTCTTCGACGTCATGCAGCCAGACGTAGCAGACGTCGGCTGCCGCGTACCAGGCGTACATCGAGTTGATGGCCTCGGACAGCTCGGAGCTGCTAGTCTTGTCGATGCAGCAGGTATCGATCCATATCCAATCAAAGCCTTCGTTCGCGGCAAACACGCAGCAATCCGTTATCTTCTGGCAGACATGATTCCATGGATTGGATGGGTCGATGTTCGCCGGATTAGATATGTCCTGGAGTGTTTGCTCCGCCTCTTGCCATACATGGGATAGGATGGCATACGGAGGGATCGTCTTTGGGTTGTGGAACTCCTTGACGACACCTGTTCGTGTATTCAGCAGCCGCATTGCTGCAGTAGAATCTAAGGTTTAGCAGCCCTGTCAATATAGACCATGTTAGCTGCAGGACGTACCATAGGTCAGAAATGGTTACGACCTAGCGATCGAATGGCGTCCCTAGCAAATCGGACCTATTGGTAGGGGGATTCAAGGAAGCAAAGACCGCGCAACTCCAGACTGGGTCCTGGAGGCGGATTTATAGTACTAGTGAAGCGGTGAGAGGGGTCAGGCTCATTCTTGCCCTTCACGGCCAAGTGGGCATCGTGCGGTGTAGGAAGCTAATTGTCTCTCCATCGGGTGAGCGCTATCTGTGTGGCAACCGGTGCTAACCAGTGACTGTCGTACTTGGCTTCTAGCGCCTGGCGCTGGCGGAGTATCAGGCACAGCGGTCGGTCGGATGCTGAGCATACCATTTCCTGCCGATAGTCATGTGTACAAAGTCGTCGTGTGACAATTTTGATGGGTTTCAGGAATGGGAAGAATGGGAGGATCAAGTCCTTGCCTCAGGTGGAGGAAGGAGTCTCAGCGGTCTTCCAGATGAGGTAACCTGCTCTCGATGCGCGATATGGCCGCGAAGCAAAATGGCAGCGCTCGCTTGCAGGCGTTTGCAAGACCGCACAGGGGACACGTGCGCAGAAATACCCGTAGAAGAGAATGTAGGATTCTGCGCCCGTGCAGTCAGACTACAAAGCAGCCGGAGAGGAAACGAAACTCGCATATGACGCGGTCGTTGTCGTCCGTTTCATTCCCCGGAGATGGCTGAATGCAAGAGGGGGAATCCCCCCACGCTCCTCAACTCCAGGGTGTTCAAGCCATGCCGACGAGATCTACAACACCTGCCTTCGTGGATTTATTGCACTGCGAGTCACCTTCAAATCCTGAAAACGGGGGGATCGAGTCCCTGCCTCAGGTAGGGCCAGCATTGGCGGACTCCCAGCCGAAAAAACCTGCTTCGACACGTAACTACGACAAAAAACAGGTTTTCTCGGCAAAGCTCTCCTGCAAAGTGTCTTCAAGACCGCGCGGGCGACGGGGCGCGAAAGTCCACGTTCAACCTCACTGGTGCTACTGAGTCTCAGAGCAACCAATGACGAGCTGAAGTCATGGCAAATGGCGGCGAACAGTTGTGAGGCAAGAGACGTGACGGTCATCTTCTAGGCTCGATGGCACAATCCATGGCCATAGCAATATGATTGACCGGACTCACCTCATTTGGCACATAGACCCGAGGATCTTTGTCCACGTTTACCCTCATAGTCATTGCTTTCATACACGTGCGAAGGATGTTTAGGATAGCGACAGAAGCGACAAGAGCTGTACGGTGGTGAGAACGAAGCTATGTAAGTAACTTGAAGGCCCGGCGTGAGTGTCACGGCGACGGGTGACAGCGTGTGACAGCGTGTGACAAGGCTGGTGGACACGCGCAAGCGTTTGCCGAAGTGCGTCTGCCAGCCTCTGCCAATCGCCAGCTGACTCCTCCGCCCGTCTCACTCTTGTGCTAACGATATCTCCGTCTTCCCTGTGTGTACTTGAATATTTCCTTGGCAGACACAATGGGTGGTGCAGGTCCGTCTCAGTTTGCGCTCATGCATTTTCTCCGCGGCATATTGAGCTGACGAGTCTCTGCCATATATCCTCCTCTCACTTCCGGTATCCACAACCCATACACTTGTGTAATCCAACTGGTTCTACGCCTGGCTTGTCAATGCGAACACGACCCTCTTTGCCGCCCCACGTCACCGCTCTTGTCCGCGCATCCAATCTCCCTTTTTCGTCCATCCAGGATGGCTCTTCCTCTTCTCGGTCCTTATGGCTGCTGGGCTTCTGTTCACGATGGTCTTCTTCGTGCGTATCCTGGTTCCCTGTCCTCTCCGTATTGACAACACATGCTTCGTATTTGACCTGTGAATTATAGATCATCATGTTCTCCGATCTGGAGTGCGACTACATCAATCCTATAGACCTCTGCAATAAGCTCAACCAAGTACGTCTCCCACGTCGCGTCGGTAATGGGCATTCCTGACTCTATGTCGTCAATGTCAGTTTGTCCTTCCCGAAAACATTGCGCACGCCTTCCTCTCTCTCCTCTTCCTCCTTTCTGGCCAATGGATAGCGTTCCTCCTCAATGCACCACTACTGGCGTTCAACATAAACAAGTGCGTCTACTACGTCTTACTCCTGTTCCGTGTCTGGTTCAGATCCCCGTCTCCTGTCCCTTAAATTATTCCGCTCGTATGTGACAAATGTCTAACTCGCGTGATCAAATGACAGGATACGGGGCGGGAATCACATGTACGACGCAACGGAAATCTTCCGCACGTTACCAAGTCACAAGAAAGAGAGCTTCATCAAGCTGGGGTTCTATCTCCTCAGCTTCTTCTACTACCTCTACAGGTGCGTATCGCGACGTGTCCGCGCAATCCATGTCCCGCTACCGTTTACGTCATTTGCCCCGCGCGTATCGCGGACGCTTGGCACGTGGTGCTACCTGTTATTGACACTCGTACTTCCCACAGAATGATTCTCGCACTCATCCAAGAGAGCGAATGAGTTCTCGGAAGGGTGTCTGCCTCACCGTACCGTCTCCTCCTGTCCGTTCAAGGTCCTTGATCCCAACACCATGCGCTCGAGTCTTCTGAGTCTCGCAACACCTCCGTCAACGCTGTTCACGCTTCATGATAACTTCCTCGACGCTCGACAATCCACTTCACGCCACGCC